GGCCAGCTCGAGTCCAGCAATATCCCTCGTTCAGCCTTATCTGCCCACTGCACATCCATCCCACCACGAGCCCCTCATATACCACCAACCCTCCAACCCCCACCCATCAACCAAGCAACCCAAACCATCCACCAAAATGACCGACCACAGCGGCGCCATCAAAATCGCCACCTGGTTCCTCCTCCTCACCTCTACCTCCGTCGTAACCGCCTGCTCCCTCACCCGCTGGCGTCTCTTCCGCGACAACCTCCTCCCACTGGCCCTCCTCCTCAGCACTCTCGTACGCACCCTTGCCCCTCCCCCCTCCCTCCCCAGCCCTAACCATATATACACCCAACCTAACCAAAGGTATACCAGATATCCTCCATAATCTCCGGCGCCTGCACCTCCCTCGCCGCCACCCGCGGCCTCGGCATCTCCTCCATCCCCGATTCCTCCCTCCCGGGGATCCAAAAAGCCCTCTACACCTCCGAACTCTTCTACATCCTGACCCTCGGATTCGGCAAGCTCGCTGTGGTCGCTTTCTTCCACATGCTGCTTTCCGGTATCGGAGAAATTAAAATCATCCTCTTCACGCAGGGATTTCTCATCCTTTGGACAATGACCATCCTCATTGCTGTATCATTGCAGTGTCATCCCCCGGATGTATGGGATTTGATGCAGGGGGAGTGTGTATATACCGTACGTATCACTCCACATCACATAAAACAACACACACACACACACTAAGATATAAAATAAATGAAAAGAGAGGATTATGGACCTACACCTCAACCAGCAACATCCTAATCGAAGCCCTACTAATCCTCATTCCGAGTATCATGATATTCCGGTTGCATATGCGTCTTCGAAAACGGTTGCTGGTGATTGCGTGTTTTGGGTTTAGGGCTTTGTATGCCCCCTTCCCTTCCCGTGCCTTGCCCCTCCCTCCCCTCCAACATGCTAACGGTAATAAATCAACAGGGACATCATTGTCTCAGTCATCCAGTTACATTATGTGAAAACATTCGATTCTGAGACACCCCTGCCGGTAAATCTCTGGCCGTGGGTCATCTGTAGTCAGGTACTGCAGACTACGACCATTGTGTCGGCGTGTGTGCCGTATCTGAGGGAGTTTTTGGAGGCGTTTCCGAGTGGGATGTTGAGGCCGGTGGGTGGGGGGGCGCAGTTGGGGGAGGGATATGGGGTTGGGGTTGGGGATAGAGGTGCGAAGTATGGGCAGGGGCAGGGGAGGTATCAGTTGTATTTTGTGAGGGAGGGGAGTGAGGAGGGGGATGGGGATGGGGTGGTTGGGAGGATGAGGGGGGTTTAGTTGTTTTTCTTTGTTGTTGGGGGGGAGGTATTAGGATAACAATGCAGTCTTATTAGTATAGTATAGTTCATTATTTGACATAGGATGATAGAACCAAAAGGAAGAAAGTAAAGACATGAAACATTAATGTGGGAGATCAGTCTATTTCGCCGTAAAGCGACTTCTTGCTCTCAACGCCGCTCCATAATAATAAAGGGCAAACATCCCCGCAATACATCCCACTGTGAGGCCCGCTAATAAACTGATGCCTGGACCGACACCCAGATTCACATATAGTGGACGCGCGAACAGTACCGCTCCACAGGCTAGCGCACTTCGCATGAGATCATTACCTGCGAACAGACTCGCCGCGTACTGCGGGTACGTCATGGGAATGTAGATGAAGATGCATTGGATGACCATGAATATGCCGATCGTGTAGATTAGGATCCCGACCACGGAGACGATCCAGTATACTGAGGGACGAGATGTCCAGCCGAAGAGAAATAGTCCGATCGGGGGCAGGAAGCAGGCAAATAGGGCTGGGATGAGTCGTCGTTCCGGGGACATGAGACCTTGGGTTCGGATTTCCGGCTCGAAGACTTTGTTGAGGTAGAGGAAGTAGAGCGGCACGGCGATGGCCAGGGCGACGGCGATGCTGAGAAAGACGAGTCCCATTTGGCCTAGGTTGAAGTGGTACATGTCGATGTAGACGAGGGGAACACTTCAAAGAAGGAGTAATAGATTCCGTAGATGAGGCTGGTGTAGACGTTGACGAAGAGGATGGCCGGGTCGAGGACCACGATTTGAAACGGGCGGTAGAGTGCCTCCATGGCGACAGCGGTGACGGTGAGCTGCTTCTGGTTGATCTCCGACTGGGAGAGGAGTTTGTTGTTGCCTGTTACTCGTCGGAGACGCTGTGCGCGGCGTAGTAGGATGGCGTCAGGAAAGGTCTCGGGGAGGAAGAAGAACATGACCACGAGAATCGGGGAGGACATCCAGACCGTCTCCCACAATGACCAGCGCCAGCCCTCGACAGGAACGCTGAAACCGGAGATGACGGGCCCCAAAGCTGGACCCAGAGTGGCAAAAGCCGCCCAGGTGGTGAGGCCGTATGGTAGTTTTAGCAAGCTGTACACATCACCAATACTGGCACCCCCTGTCGCAAGGCATGGACTGCCAAAGAAGCCCTGGAGGAAGCGAAGAACGAGGAGCCCGCCGAATGTGTTGACGACCGCAGCCCCAATGCTAAACACGATGAAGAGGGCGAATGTGATGATATACGGTGGATTGCGTCCAACGCTGGGAATCTCACTGAGCGGGGAAAAGAGCATGGGTCCGACTCCATATCCCAGGACATACAAGGCCAGACCCAAGGAGGCAGCCGTCTCGGAGACACCGAAACGGGCTTGAATCTGAGGCGCGCTGGGCGTGTAGATGGACGAGCCCATGTAGACGACTAGCGTGTAGAGGTAGATTTGAGCGACGGTAATCAGCTTCTTCCCCGAGGACCAGTTCTGCGGATTCTCGGGATCATGCGTGGTATACCAGTCGACCAGGATAGTACCATCGGCGGTCTTGGTGGGAGCAATGGGTCGGCTGGGAGCTGTTTGCAGGGCTTCGGTCTGCGTGGCCGCCGAGTAGAGACGAGCCATGTCCGATTGAGAGCGAACCTTTTCCACGTCCGCCATCGAAGGCACCCGGCTTAGCTCTTCTGCTCTGGAGGCATTCTCAGTGGCAGCCTCGCCTTCATCGTCTGCATCAGCATCAGACTCGGGCTTCTCGCTGTCTGCTTCGTGGGTGAAGAGCGTCGGAGAGACAGCCCCATCGGCGTAGCAATGAGGGCATTGGAAATCCGGTTGCTCCTCGGGGTATGGTAGGACTTTGTTTCTGGTGATCCAACGCAGCAATTGGCCGGCCGTGCTACTGTGGATGAGGCCTTCCATTGGATAAGTGGCTTATTGTCCGGCTAGGATAGATGGATTGAGTGCACGAAGTATGACCACGAAGTATGACTCTCTTGTGAGCGACATCTCAGCGATTTATAGTTATCATAAACTATGCTGGTGGAATTAATCAGCCCTAGACAAAGACGCCATTCGTATCCATGGGTGTGTTATCCTCATTATTCAGCACCCGTATCGTGCAGATACACATTGGTGGTTGCCATGAGGTGCAGTGATTACTGATCATGGCCCAAGCCAGGCGATCATTGACCATGCTGATACGAGGGATGCAACCGGCGATGAAGTAAGCCTTCCATCACATTCGTTGGGTGATAAGCATAAGGTGAAGTCCGTAGATCCAGATCTGATGGGTTTAAGTTCCAGCATTAGTAATGGTCGTGTTGGAGTCAGCACTTGGCAGAACAGCTCAGAATGTGCCAGTACTCCCCACTGACATATCGATAGCGGCCTTGGATTGTTAATTTTCCAGAAGGATTCTCGTCTTTCTGCTTCCTCGTTTCTGCAGCCTTGTGGTGGATGTCCAGTCATGCCAGTCAGGTGATCGTGGCGCGTCTGTTGTTGTTCTTCCCCTCCTCTTCTTCCCATACGATTCACCATCATCACCATCCCAGTCATCGCAAATCATCCCAACTTATCGAGTTCATCATCATTTCATCGACCAGACAGACATTCAAGGTACCCTTGCTATGCTAGCACTCACCAGCATCCATCGATCTGATATCTGCGGGTCAGCGCCGTGTCGGCCACTCCGCTGACGGTCGCAGTCAGTCCCGTCGAGCCATCAGCGGTGGTTGACCATCGACATCATGTCGGGACGTCAGCGGGATTCCGAGTCCAAATAGCTCGCTTGGTCGAGATCAACAATGAGGAAATGTGTCCGATCAGGCTGACTCGGAGACAATCGGGGGAATTTGTCCGCCGCGGCCTGAGGATTGAGGAAGGATGATTCGCCGTGATTGGTGCCGTGTCGATGGCCAATCAGCGGCGTGGAATCCGTCCGTCGATTTGTCCGACGCTCGGACCACCTCGGGCACATTTGGAGCCTGGATTGTCTGCCTGGGGTTAGCAATCATCGTCAGCTTCATTCCTCCGTGTCGGGGAGTTATGAATCCCGTTACCAAGCATAGAGGAACTGTGGTATATTTATACCTTTTGACCAGTCTTCATCATGTCTCAAAGCAATTCACTATCCAGCTCGGTGCCTGACCAACATGGCAACTCTGCGTCAGTATATCGGTCTGCGAGACGCTGTCAAGGCAGATCTGGCCAAAACCCACTCCTACGACAGCTCTTCAGGCACCTCCACCTCCGATGAAAAGGAATTGCCCCTCGTATTTGGGGTTCAGATTTCACGCCCCTCTGAGCAGGACGGCTCAGTCACTTTCCTCGTCGGCTGGGCAGACGGCGACCCTCACAATCCCCAGAATTGGAGCCGCTCCAAGAAATGGTTCTGCACCGCGGCCATCTGTTTGATTGCATTGGCCATCAGTATTCCCGGAACCATCGATGCCCCGGTCTCTGATGCCTTCAACCAACACTATCGCGTTGGTCCAATTGCTGGGTCCATGACCACCGGTAAGTGCCATATCTCAAGCCAAGGATTGGTCTGATTGAGTGGCAGGCATGTATCTCATCGGGGTGGGCGTAGGCTCGCTGTTTGCCGGCCCCATTTCGGAAACCTTTGGACGCAACTTCGTCTACTTCACCAATCTGGTGGTCTTCATGTTGTTCATCCTGGCCAAGGCACTCGCCCCCAACTATGGCGCTGCCATTGTTTTTCGCTTCCTCACCGGCTTCTTTGGGGCTGCTCCGATGACGGTTGCTGGTGGCACGGTGGGTGATCTTTGGAGTCCGCTCGAACTCACCTTTAGCCTACCATCGGTGACTCTGGCGTCATATTCCGGGCCCATTCTTGGCCCTATCATCGGTGCCTACATTCCCAAATCAGCCTTCAACTGGACCGATTGGATCTCCCTCATCATCGCCGGGGCCGTGTTTATCTTTGTGGCTATATTCCAACCAGAAACCTACGGCCCATTGCTGCTGCAATGGAAGGCCAAGCACCTGCGGGATCAGACGGGAGACTCCCGCTACCAGGTTGACGAGCAGACCACCAGCTCTCTCGGTAGTCGTCTCCTCGTGAACGTCTACCGCCCTTTCCAGATGACCTACACTGAGCCCATTATCCTGGTCTTTTCATTCTACCTGGTCCTTCTGTACATTGTCTTGTTCACCTTTCTCAACGGGTTCCCTTTCATTTTCACCGACACATACGGGATCTCCACATCGCTCACCTACATCATCTTCGTGGCCATGCTTGCTGGAGATGCCATTGCCCTCATGCTCGTTCCAATCATCTACCGCTGGACCAAGCAGGCAGCTGCCAAGGCCGCAGCGGAGGGGGGAGTCTTACAGGCAGAGGTATCTTTGTATTGGGGGATGGTCGGGGGCTCCATTCTCATGCCGATCTCGTTGTTTTGGATGGGCTGGACTTGCTATGTAATAAGTTAACTATCTCCCTCCAAGCTCCACTACTGACCACAACAGCCCGGAGTCAGCATCTGGTCTCCGATTCTCAGCACGTTCTTCTTTGGCTACTCTCTGGTCACCATCTTCACTGCGACGTATTTGTATATCTGTTTCGTCTACACGGTCTACGCCGGCTCGGCGCTCTCCTTCATGACATTCAGCCGGTATGTCATTTCCGGGGCGTTGCTGCCGGCATCTGTCCCAATGTATCAACACATGACTCCGCACTGGGTCCTCACCATGGTCGGTATCCTGGCTACGATTATGGCCCCGTTGCCATTCTTGCTGTACCGTTACGGCCAGCGGATCCGAGCCATGAGCAAGCATGTTCAGAACAAGGCTTGAGCAGCGATGAATGAACGATAGATATAGAGTGGAGACTTGCGTGCAGTTGCCTCCTATCTATGATAATGTGATAGGGCTAATTTTGGGTTAATTGGTTACAAAGTGCTGTTGATGTACAAGTCAAGAGATAGACTTAATATTCAATTTATCTCTGTCTTTCTATTTCATCAAGTCATTGATATTGTATTTAATCTGGCCCCACTGCCTGAGGCGGGGCATCTGACAGGTTCCATCTGGCATTAGCGCGAGCACTAGCGTCTCGCTCACTTTCGACCTCGTTCGATGTTGCTCATCTCACTTTGCGCCATTCCCTCCCATGTTTGCATCTCTTTCGCCCGGTGAGAAGCGACGCGGCGGAGAGCGTCGCGACCGTTTAAATGGCCTCCACCACCAACAGCACAACGGCAGAGTCAAGCGACGCCAGGGAACACGAGTCCCCCCAGGATGACACCTATGCCGCCCCATACGGCAGTTCCTGCGTCAATTGCTCGCAGGCTAAATGCAGGTGCATCTACTCCAAAGCCGGCGGGCGATGTCAAAGGTTGGTGTCCCCCTTTCCTTGCCTAGAGCTGCGTGATGACGGTTTCCACGGAGTATAGGTGCCAGCGCCTGGACAAAGAGTGCCGTCCATCTGCCACGCGCCGAGTGACCTCCCGAAAGTCGAACGTCTCCAAAAACACCCCCAAGACAACACGACTGGAGGACAAATTGGAGGACCTGGTGTCCCTCCTTCGGGCCGGTGTGCAGCCCGGTAACATCTCCACAACGATGCTGAAACACCTGGCGCAACCCTCGGACAACCAAAAACCCACCAGCAATGCCGCATCACCCCTGGGTCCGTCCGACACATCGATTAGCAGCTCTAGGCCGGGCTCGGTTTATGCACCACATGGCAATGGCGCAGCCTCGACCCCGGAAGCTAGCCTGTTGGACGGGGGCTCTATATCTTCAGGAACATCGGCCGAGAATGAGATGGAACCAACAGGCGTCCAGGCAGAAGGATACCTTACCTTCTATATTACTCAGATGCTTCCCTTCTTTCCGTGCATGTATATTCCGCCAGGTACCACTTCGCAAAAGCTCCGTCGCGACCGACCATTTTCGTGGCTATGTATCATGGCCGTCGCCTGCAAGAGTAGTGCCCAGCGTCGCGTTCTCTTCGACCGGATCAAACAGATAGCCGCACAGAAATTGGTGCATGAATACTCTTGTCGTGACTTGGATGTCCTCCAGGGGATCTTGATATATCTTGGATGGTATGTTTACTCTTCTTGTCTTGAGCGCTGCTGACAGGTCAGGTCCAACCAACAAGTCTACAACAAGGCCAATATTTACGTATTCGCCCAGCTAGCGATGGGAATCGTCTACGAGATGGGTTTGTTCAACCCCGAGGCAAAAGGAAAGCATATGCTGTTGTGCGTTCATACCGAGCCACACGAGAACCGCTCGGAAGCTCCACGTAATCTTATGGACGAGCGCAGGGCTGTTCTGGGGTGCTTCTTACTGACATCCATGTACGCTTGACTCCTACCCTTGGTTGCGCTTCTAATTTTGCCAGCTTCGCTACCTTCCTACAGCAGAGTGATTCTCTGCGCTGGACACCCCACATGGATGAATGCCTACGCCTGCTCGAAGAGCAACAGGAATGCGCCAACGATGGGATTCTGGCCCAACAAGTTCGACTCCAACTGGTCATGGACAAGCTCAGCTTGGGACGCTGGTATGGGGGTTCTTCCAAATCGCTCGAGTCGATGCGACCATCGCCTACCATCTATCTTCGACCCATGCAGACCCAATTGCAGTCGCAACTCCAAGCAATCATGAACAGACTCAGCTCAAACTCTAAGGGATATAGTTGGTGCCAATACACCACCTGCTGGAACTATACTAATACCAGCTAGAAATTGTCCTCTTGCACCATTACAACACCTCTTTGAGTCTCCACGAGTCCGCCCTCACCAAAGGCGCCATTGCCTCCATGAGTAATGTAACATTTGAGCACCTCGACTATCTGTACGGTTGTCTCGACGCCACAAAATCATGGTTCGACGTCTTCTTGAGCATTCCGCCGATGGAATACATTGGCTTTCCTTTTGCGGTATTTTCGCAGATGGTTCAGAACCTCGCCACTCTCTACCAACTATCTACGCTGGAAAGTCCGCTCTGGGACACGGCTAATGTCCGGCGAACGGCGGATGTGTTGCAGCTTTTGGATACGATAGTGGCCAATATGGACCAGGTTGCGTCTCTCAATGGTCTGGTTGGGGATCCTGGTGGCGACATCTTTTCTACGATTGCCCAGATGTATCGTGCTGTGCGGGTGGGATGGGAGACTAGACTGGAGCCTGATCCAGGTTCGAGCGCAACGAATATTATTCCATCTCTCCCTATTGCAACGCTCCCTGGTCCGGATCCTTTGTCGGCTGCGTTTCCCCCGATGGATAATAATGACTGGCTAACAGATATGCTGAATACTATGGATCAAGCCAATGGATGACTCTGTGTAACTAACCCCCTATCATTTGCATGGCAATAACGTGTCTTCCACAGCCAAATTGGTCTAGATATTGCGAGTGGCAGCAGCATCACCTTCTACGAGTTACTCAATGGAACGATCTCATAGATCGACCTAGACGGAGAGCATTATTCGATGTCTCAAAATCATATCTTTGACTGAGATTCCACAATCACATTATATTCCTCATGAGGATCACCACAATCGGCAATATTGAAACAGCCATTCATCCTATGCAATCACAATCTACCCAACCATCCTCAACACCGCCGCACTCATAACCCCACCCAACCTCCTCCTCAACTCCCCCTCCAATATCAAACACATCTGCTGTCCCCCACCCCCACCACCCCCTCACGACAATAAGCCCTCGCAAACCCCTCCACCAACATCCTCACCTTTTCCAAATCATTCATCACCACCTGCACCACCCTCCTCTTCCGATCCTCTTCATCCAACTCAGACTCGCCAATCCCCATCCCGGAATCCATCTCAAGAACAACCCGATACCAATCCAAAACCTGAACCAGCACCTGCGCTATCAACACCGCACACCCATGTTCAAGTGAACAAGGACACCCCATCACCGATATCAGGGTACCCATCGCACTCTGGTTCAGTCGCAAAATGGCATCTAGCGTTCGCGACGGAGGCACACTCGCCTGAAGAAGACACGTCTCGGATGGAGAATGCAACGATTGCAGTATACTCAGAACCATACCCATGCACGATTGTCCTGAGTTCCCTGCCTCCAGAGACGACTCCCCCGACCCCGATCCCGACGACGACGGCGACGAAGACATCAACCCCATCTCATACCCTCCATGCATCCCAACGATCTCCTCCCCCTGAGGCACAATATCAAATAACCCCCCAACCTCACACCCCAGACCCTGCCACCCATTCCCATCTCCTATCCCCCCCTCCCGCTGACCACCAGCGACAATCATATCCCCCAACACATGCGTCGGCGTTCTCCCCAACCCTTTTTCCATACCGCATTGCACCATATCGACCCCCTTTCCCGAAGGAGAATACTCCAGCCCAGAGCCACCTGGCGACATCCCCACCATCGGACACAACCGCGGTCTCCCCCTCGGTCGAACAAATCCATACATGCAGGGTTGATTCCTCGCCACGCAGCGCTCACATCGGGGGTGTTGTTTCCCGCATCGCACTTTGGATTTTGCGCATGCGTCGCAGGTATCTCTTGTTTTGGGGGGCGGTGTTGTTGTGGTGGTGGATGGGGATAGTGATGGGGATATGGATATGTATTCAGCCATAATGGCAGTTAAATAAATAGTCCTCACGGTTTTGGCTTCGATATGTATATCCTCAGTATTAATATACTTGATTGAATATACCCTGGATAAGCTACAGAACAGGGACAGGGATAGGTAGGTACTTAAACCCCCAATAGGACTTGTTATACAAAAGGAAGTCACGAATCCCGGTAAGAATCTACACTCGTATCCGTAAATGGTATAGTGTGTATCTACGAGTGCGAGATATGAGGAACCCTTCCCTAAACCGGTCTCGTTGTGCTTATGGGGCATTATGCCAAGGAGGACATTCAGCGGGATGGGTGAATCCCGGGCGAATCCCGGCGGTGAGTTTACTGTCGGGGTTTTGTTCACCGCTTTGATGTGGTTATCACGTGACTTTGTGAAAGAGTGTATTATGCGATTTGTGCATCTTCCTTACTAAGGTATGCAAATAATGAAGTTGTTGGTCTACGGAGTAGATCTTCTCCGATTCTTATAAAAATTAATCCTGTCTCTGATGTACCGACTTCCGTCTACATAGAACGAAGATTCTAGATTCCTTGGGAGAGAGCCAGCCCAGCGAAACCCACCACCAAAGACAATTCCCTCTTCGCCAACAACCCCGTCCCCCTAGCAACACCACCAGTCGACGTCCTCGTAACAGGACCCCCAGTAGATGTCCTCGTCGGTGCAGGAGTATAAGCCGTAACGCTGGCTGGCCACTCCCCCACTGCATCCGGTATCTCAGGCCCCGTTCCAATCTCGACAATATTGTCTGAGCCTGGGTTCTGTTTGAGAGGAGCAACACCCACAAACATATTATCATAATCAATGGCGATATACATCCGACGAAGAAACGGTACGCCGAGTTGTCCCCTTCCAGAGGCGTAAGCGCCTGGGGTAATAGGCTGAATGGCCAACTGGCATAGGCCGTCGGTCGTCCAGGGGATGAATAATTCGTCCCAAGGGACGGAGAATGTCATGTTTCCTATCATTAGAGAGATAGTGTGTTTTTCGGTGTATTGGCGGGAACATTCGAGGACGCTGGATTCGGGAGAATCGTTGGCAAGTTCGACCATTGTGATGTTGAGGTCGGTGTAGAGGTGTTGGAGGGTGGTGTTGGGGAGGTAGCTGTAGGCACTGCGGGGCTCGAGAGTTAGATTGGTGGGGGGGAATGTGTAGCGTGCTGGCTCAGTGGCGGTATTATTGCTTTCTGTCAAGAGTTGAAGGGAATCGGTTTGGAAAGAGACGGTGTTATGTGAGCCTTGTAAGGAGAAGGCTTGGAGAGGTCCGTCGAATTTTGCGGTGTTGACGGCGCCGAAGAGGATGCTGGCTTGGTTGGTTCCACCTCCATCGCCACAGAGACTGAAGGATGGAGAGGTGGTCAGGCCCCGGTCGACTAGTAGATATGGGAAGCTGATGTTTGTCGGGGATAGACCCAAGGCGTTGGCTGAGACATAGGGTTAGTGAATATTACATTTGTAATAGGATACTAACCAGAATCTTCTTCAATATTGAAAAGTTCCACTGGCATCGCTTTTACTACCTGATCTCTAACTGTGAAGGTGTCGGTATAGGCGTATTTGTCACCCGTTTGAATGAACTCGGTGTACGTGAGGGTATGAAAGGTGGTGGATTCGTTAGTATTGAAGGACCCAAATAACTCGCAGTATGTGTCTTTGGAGCATGGGACTCCCATTCCATTGGATACGATAACCTCCAAATTTGAAGGTTCGAAGTCAAGAATGAACCCTAATGTCTGCGGCGGCGTTCCGAAAGAGGCTTTCAACCAGTAGTTGTTGCCCTGGTTATCGTGAGATTTTGGCAGGAATAACGGAGGGAGGATACTGACCCATATTGTTACTAAACCCTCCACTGCTAAAGGAATGTCGCGTTTGTTGGTTGGACCATTGGGAGGGTGTCTGAGAGGGAATGAAACAGCCGAGGATTCTCTCGAAGGCAGTGAAGTTGATGTAGCAATGGCATAGAGGAACAATCCGCACCAGGTAGCAGTGTACGAAAACAACCGCATCACGGATCAAATTGGAATGATATTCTTCGTCTAAAAGGTTTCCTTTGTCGCTGGATATCCTTCTTCTGAAAGTCTACCATCGTATTAAGCCCAGTTGATGCAGGCTCTCGCATTTAATAATGCAGAGAAGGTCAGCCTAATCGCACGGCTGATCACAAGCGGAAAAATTGCTTAGCCACTGGGAGACCCAGGTTCCGCTGGATACGAGCAATCCCTGACAGATACAGTAGTCTGGGGTCAAAGCCACGCGAACCTGTCCTAGAATCAACCCCATTGGTGGGTATTGAAGCGAGTCATCCTTAATGGACGCCAACTTGAGCAACCGTGCCCGACTGCTTTCAGTCCCACGCGGCTCCTTCAGAAGAACGTTGATTGGATGTAAAGGATGAGCCTGACACCGAGGTTGCATCCGAGGTTATTGAGGGTCCAAGCATCTGACCACCTTTAATATGCAAATTGGATGTTGCTTCCTGACCGTCCATATAATCTCTATTGCGCAGCCTTATCAGCGTAAAATGTTTTCTAAAGCAAAATATTATCAAGGGTTAATGTTTGATTAATTAAGAGTGATCGCAATTGGTTCATCAGAAGGACGCGCTGCGAAATGGGCCAGCAAGGTGAGTCTAGTCATCATCAGAGTCCGCATTATATTGAGGCTGCCCAATCCAGCCTCCTTTCGAGGGCGTATGACTGGACAAGTTATGGCTGTGCATCGTGGATTGCGGCGTCCCGTACCCCATATTCATCGGCTGTGAACCCCATCTCTCCGGGCCGCCCATTTCCATCGGATACTGTGGCTGCGGCTGCATGAGGTTTTGGTTGGGGGATTGTAAGCCCGGGTGAAGCTGACCCCCATAAGGTCCGTGCTGTTGAGAAGGCAAGGGCTGGCCAGGAGCGTAACCAGTCCAACCAGGGCTGACTGCATTCATAACAGGCGTCACAGGCCGGTGGGACATAGTCCGAGGTATATCTTGACCCGGGGCGCTTTTTTCCTTGTCTGGCTTGCCGTGGGGTGATAGAATATAATCCGCACGAGTCCCCTGCAGAAAGGCAGCTTCCCCATCGCTTTTGCCTTTTACTTCCTGGAGATATACTTCAAATCCAAACCCAACTTCGACAACCGTCTTAAAGTGGCTGGCACTTAGGTCATATGATCTGGGAATATCTGGACCTTGACCCATTTCAAACCGCGCGAGTGCAGATGCAATGAGAAACGCATTCCGGATTTGTCTCCCATTCCAGACTCCCTTCCCACTGTCCCTCCCCTTCCGATAGTGGTCTCTGGCAAACTCTAGGATTCCATTGTAATCAACCGTCATGGGAGGCTGTCCAGTAATCCGACTCTGTTCTGCTTCAATCTCGCCCAGTCGCTTGAGATTAATCTGCCAGATCTTCTCGGTCTGATTTGGCTTCAGATGGGGATAATATAAGCTGACATGAAGTCGGGATTTGAAAGCTTCATCGATAGTGCCAACCCGGTTGGTCGTCAGAAACAGAACTCCGGCGTAGTAATCCAAGACGCGAAGAAAAACTAGGGTGAATTAGCGACGTTCCCATAATCTCACGTTCCCATACCTGACACGAGCGCATTCCGGTTCAGATCGGATGGTATCCGCTCCGTAAGAAAGACGTCTGCTTCATCCAACAGCAAGACGCAGTCCCATAATTGGGCCAGACGAAACATCTCCTTGAGTGATTGCTCCACCGTTGCAGGATCCAGACCGAGGTCACCGCAAGTAATCGGAAGTAGTGGCTTTCGGAATTCGTTGGCAAACGTTTCTGCTGTAGATGTCTTGCCAACACCTGGGACTCCGTGGAGGAGGATGATAAGACCCCTTCCCTTATTATGAACGATGTCTTGAGTAGTAATGCGGTTGCCTGTCAAGTCATAGATTTCCTTCCGACTAAAGTGAGACTGTATGAGGGCTCGGAGCATTCTCTCGTGCTTTTGATTGATGACTAGGCTGTCAAACTTGGACTGCGCATACTCGATCAGCTTCAAATTATCCACGTCGACCGCCACAAACCGTCGGTCCTGAAGGGAGTAAGCAAAGAGTCTCCGGGGAAGCAAGCAGAGATCTTCTTCGCTCAAGGTGTATTCGTTTTGATCCCCTTCAAAGAGATAGGAGAGAAAATTATCTTCGTCGTAACAGTAATCCTTTTCCTCGACAGTTTGGGGATGTTCTCCTGAGTACCAAACCCACTTTTCTTGCGACTCCCCCAAGGCTTTCCCATCGGTCCAAAACAAAAGCAACTGATCCGTATAGCTCGATTTGTCAGTATCTGACTTGTCGAAATCGGGTAGTTGAGTAGTGGGCTTGCAGTCCGCATGAGCTTTGAACGTTTCAGTGAAATCGATGACCACATCACCAGTGATGTATCGCAAAGTTGGATCTGATGGATTCGGTTCCGAGGCCCAGCCGTTGTGGGTGACTAGCTTGGTCTTGGTAAATCTTTGAAAGGCTTCTCCCCGTCTCTTCGCATCGTCGAGCAGTGACTGCATATTGCTTGCACACCGGATCGGATAGACCTTCAAGCTAGTGACACTGACTGCTCCGTCAAAGCGCTTGATCGTGAAGGATTGTGTGCTGCAGACGTAAGAATGGCCATCGTAGTCAATGCAATACGCGTTCACCACCAACTGATCGCTGGTGGAGAGTCCCCATCGGGAATACACTCGCCACAATAGTTGATCTCCCCGATTGCTTCCTAGACCCGTTTCGTGATTGGTACTGGCCCCAGGGTAGACTATTATGTCGCCGGGCTGAAACAGATGATAAAGATTGTCAAACTGTACGGTAGCGTTATCCGAGGCGGACAGGGTCTTGAAGTGCTCGCAAAACGGAATAACCTCCTGCTCCATAAGATGCACGTAGAATCGTAACTGCTCCAGCAGGCTCGGCTCACTGGGAGTTTGAGAAGATGTTCCAGGACCGTCACCAGGCGCAGGGCCTGGATCCTGTTCCGCGTGGGCCTCCATTTCTGCGAGCTTCTTTTTGGCACCATCGAAAAAGTAGATTGGATCGTTGAATGGAGGGTACATGAGGACGTGTTCCATGGAGGGCTCCGCATTCCACAATGACTGCAGAATGTTTCCCAACGGCTGGGATGTGATGCGAAGCGCAGCGACGTGGGCCATGTCAAAGTCGCCTGCCGGTACATAGGCATCCCTGATCATCTGCACGGCCTTGTCGGGCTTGACGCTCTCCAGCGTATTGTAAAATGTATTCCGTTCCTCTCTCGCTTTTTTCCGACCGTTGGGAAAGTAGAGAGCTTCAATTAGGGGTTGACTGTCGGCAGGGAGGGCATGGTATGTAAACGGGATATAGGACAAGTTTTGCACTTTGAGCTCGATCGGAGGTAGTGGCGGGCGCGGATTGTTATTGCTGTCCTCGGTCTCGGACGCGGGTTTCTCCTGTGGATCATTTTTCACTGCTTGCTCGGTGGATGCTATGCTCGCCGTGTCGGCACTGGAGTCTGGGACATCGGATCCAGCGGTCTTGTTCCCGTTTTCCAGGCCCAAGAGTCGGCTTTCCACCTGCGCCAGACGCTGTTCCAGCGCCCGGATGTAGTCTTCGGTTGCCATATCAATGAACGAGGTGAAGGTTGGAGATTGAGAGAAACCCCACCAAGGCATACCATCCGGTGCTTATTATTCCTCGGGTTCTGTCTTTGCTTATTCTTTCCCAGCCTCAGCGTGGGGCAGCCCCTCTCGCGGGATGAATCAGACGGAGACACACCCGACGCTACTGCATCCAAGCCCGCTAGTCTCGTGTCCGTGAAGATATCAGGTGCGACACAGCCACAGCCACAGCCTCGTCCTACCCATCGTCAGGATAAGGTACGCAGTATGCATCTTCCACAAGAAATCGGGACGACATTCATAAAAGTCCCCCACCATGGAGGGGCTCCAACCGAATGCAATGGACGACAAGAAGAATTTGGTCACAGCCTTTGTACGGGAGAGGGCGCTGGAATACCACGATGCCTTTGGCATTTCGGCGCCTACGAACGGCGGGGTAGGGCCGGAGGCAGCCCTACCGGCATCCAGGTTAGCAGGCCGATTTATAGCCAGACTCCGCTTGTTAATAAAAACAGAGATTTGGAAGAGGTTCTCGAGGCATATAATGCGACCGCAGACAAGGATAGCAGATTTGATGTCCAGCACTGCACCTGGGATCGTGTATTGGAGGAGCTCAACAAAGCCGAAGACCGATATCTGCAGCAAGGCCAAGGACCTGTACACTTTGTCCGCAAGGGATTTCGGATAGCAGGCGACTATTCCAATGCTATAACCCCATGGCTTGGTTTGATTCCTTCTAGTAATGGGTTGGAACTCTTAACTGCCGGCTTGACCGTCATTTTCAGCGTACGCGCGGGATTCTCTCAATGACTTAAGACAGTGGCTGATGCAAAACAGATAGCAAGGCAGAATTCCGATAATCGGGGCAAGATTCTCGGCGCATTCCACAGTATTCCGGCCATCATTTTGCGCACTGAAGAGCAGCAGAACCAGTTTGCGAAAGTCCAAGCTTTAAGGGAAAAGGCGATCAACCTATATAGTGTCCTGATACGGGCATTGGCAGAGCTGATCTTTCTATTCGGTGGCAACAGGTCGGGAGCATCCTTCAAAAACCGAGCAAAAAGGATAGGGAAACGACTTATCGCTCCTGCTTATACTGCCAGTCAGATTGACCAGATTCTTAGTACGGTTCAGCAGAGCACGGAGGAATTCGAGGCGTGTCGGGACATGGTTAAAGCTCAGATCGCCATCGATACCTACCATAATACGACAACCTTGCAGTCACAGGCAGCCTCAATCCAGGGCCACACCCAGCAGATATCGAATGGCATTGGCGAACTGGCATATGAAGTGAATGATCTCAACCATTCTGCACAACACACCCATGTACAGCTTGATGGGGTGCAGGACCAGCTGTCTGACCTGGTGGCACAAGTCGAGGCAGTTCGTGCCGAGCAATATAACATGTATCAGCCAGGAATGGATGCCCAGGCTGCCTTGTGTCATTTCTTGCTGCATGATTTTCCTGGTAAGTCTTATCCAACCCTCCCTGTACATGCTGACTCCTACGACCAAGGCTTCTGGAACGCCGTGACATCAGGGAGCATCCCTATGGGTCAATCTCAATCATTTCTGTCGCGAATGGAGCTATTCAAGTGCATGGGTGTTTCTCCCAGGGTGTCCATTGACGATACCAACATCGTGCTGAAGCAACACAGTGCATTCACTCCCGAAGCTCAGGCACAAAGCCAACAACTCCTGTCGTCGATGGAGTTCTCCAGATGGATGCAATCCACCCATGCAGAAACGCTGTTCGTGCAAGGAAACTACTCCACGATGGGACCTGGTCGGATCTCGCCTCTTTCCGCCCTCTGTGCCACCCTGTCTCTCAATCTATTGAAGCACTCCAATTCGATTGTGCTGCATTTCTTCTGCGGAGTTCACGAGGCTCCCGATGATCCTGTTGCTGGTCCCAATGGATTGATTCGAAGTCTGATTGCCCAACTGCTTCTCACCCGCTTCATGTTTAACCTGGATTTCATCAACACCCGACCCTTCACGGAGCTGATCGAGTCGCATTCACTGTTTGACCTGTGCCACACATTTCGTCAGCTGGTTGAGCAACTACCGACGACCGCCACCGTGATCTGCATTATTGACGGGGTGACTCCGTTTGAGTCTGCTGCCTGGCTTGCGGACTTATTGGAAGTCATCCATACCATGAATCAGATCATTAACAATCCCGCCTTGCACCCCATTGTCAAATTACTGGTGACCACGCCGTTCGCTCAGATGGGACATACTGGGGAGGCCATTCTGGCCCACCATCGGGTGACGCTTCGAAATATTGGGGGGACACGTCAGGTCATGTCCGACCGATGGCTCTTGTCCAACATGGGGCGTTTGGGTGAATATCGGACGAAGATGCAGAACAGTCATGGGAGAGGGGACTCGGATGATGAATTCTAGCTCGGTGGTGTCAGTCGTGTCTTGTTGACCTTCCACTCTGTGATGGATAGTTGAAGAAAACCAGTTCCTGAAAAGCGATGGTGGTCAACGTGACCGGAACACGTGGTTCTCGTACTTGGAGTAGTAGATGTTTGACAATACCTGTACGGAGCGGAGTAATCAGTCCTACATAAAAGTCCTCCACAGCCACCTGGCCGCCGTGGAATCTCCAGTTACTACTTCCTACCAGACTTCCTCAACCCCGATCATGGTACTAACCATGGTTCCCAGTGTGGATCCAGCTTCCGATCGGAATCCAGATCCAATGTGCCCACACCGTGACTTGCGCCTAGACTCGAATGTTTTTGGAATATTAGAACCCCTCGGCCGTTTTCTCGAGAACGCACCAACTTGTGTGGATTGTAATCTACTGTTGCAGACTATTGAAGCGTTCAGCTTGGTTGGGTTACCATGGCGATAGAAAAATCCGAGGAAGCCCCGCTCCTGATAGTGCCTCAAGTTACCCTCCAGGTGCAACAGTCGGTTGATCCACCGACATGGAACTCCCCAACTCGTACGGGTGCTTCCTTTCACTTTCTACAACGAGCTACTAATCCATGTTACGAAAGTCCGGGCAGGGATGGAGAGCCCGTTGATGGCGCCCGCTATGTGGAGAGACTAGTCGCCAATTCTCTCGAAGTGGTGGAAGATTCGGGCTCCCCGGTGGCTTTCCAACGAGCCCAGCAGTGGTTGTCATTCTGTGAGGAAAATCACGAAGCCTGCAAGCCCCCAAATCCGGATTTTTTCCCTCGACGTCTGGTCAACATGGGATCATGGGATGGTTCGCACGAGCCATTCCTCTATGAGCCCACCACGCCTGTCCGTTATGCGTGCCTTAGCTACTGCTGGGGGAAAGACCTCGATTAAGTCCTAACAACAACAACCGACAACATCAAGTCCTGTTATGAAAAGATCACAATAACAACACTGCCACTTGCCCTTCAGGATGCCATCATGGTGTGTCGAAACCTCAAAATCCCCAATCTCTGGGTTGACTCCTTATGCATCATCCAAGATGATATAGTCGCCTGGTTGCACGATGCGTCTACAATGTACGATGTTTATCTGAATTCACATCTCACGATTACCGTCATGGAGCCAAACTCGTGCAAATCAAGATTCCTGAGCAAACAGCGGTTTGGTGACCCCAGTTGGCAACAGCTGTTCCACCCATCCATGTCGGACTCTAGAAACGGAACTCCATCCATGGATGGCTTGATACGCCCAGGTGAATTCAAACCTAGATCTTATGAGGACCGATCTTCTCTTAACCAACGCGGATGGTGTTTGCAGGAGTCGCTGCTGCCCAACCGCAGACTCTGTTATGACGGCAATGAAATGATCTGGGAGTGTGTCTGTCGCCAGCTCTGCGAGTGTGGACATGTGGTGCCGCCCCAAGTGCCAAGGGATACGATTCCGGGCTATATCAAGCTTGGGGCATTGTTTAAAACCCACGTTCTGAGGGGCAGTTATCCTTCGAATGGTTTAAACTTTCTAGAATGGCACCGGGCTAGGTCGACTTGGCGGATGAAGCTACCGCCACACAAAGTACCATATCAGAGATGGAGGGACCTCGTCATGGATTATACCTATCGGACTCTGAGCAAAAAACATGATAGGCTGCGGGCCCTTTCAGGGTTGGCTAGGATGGTTTGGACTAACCTACGGCATGAAGATGAAACTTCGGAACTGTACCTCGCTGGGCTTTGGAGAAAGGAACTTCTTTTTGATCTGTGCTGGCAAGTTAGACCACTAGATGAAGTGGCTGAGCCCCCTGAGACTGGAGTGGAGAGTCCGGAAGAAGCCGGTTACCATATCCCGAGCTGGTCATGGGCCTCTGTCGAAAGGCCCGTCACTTACAAATTTGCCTTGCCCTTGGAGGGCTGGAAATATAAGCCCTCCCTTGTCGACGAATGTGTTGTGGAGAATGTCTCCTGCCAGAATGAGATACCAGAAGGCCCTACGAGCGCTGTTATTGAAGGTTCCATTGTCCTGAACGGTTCCTTTGCCCCTGTTAAGCTGATACGAGGCGAAAAAGAATTGGACAAATTCCGGAGAAAGACGGGCTTCCCTACCAGTGGGGAAATGGGCGCTTTTGTACAGTCCTCTTAATGAGCACGAAGAGGAGGTAGAACTAGACAGACCTGAGCTGGATCGGCCCAATGGCCATTATTACTGCTTCAGATTGTTTTCCTGGCTGACCAGAAGGATGGGCTCGCAAACATGGTTCCGAGTGTTGGCCGCGTCGACACATCAGACAGGTGCCTTTGAGCGTATAGGCATTTGGCATTTGCATGTCCACCCCGAGGAAGATACATACTTTGCCAGGGTCTCCTGTCCAATATTTAAGGACGCCAAGTCTGCTAGTGTCAGAATTATTTGAAGCCGACATTGTACCATTCTGAGACAACATGATCACATACCTAGCAGCATCGAAGTGGGTCTGCAAGTAGATCCCATCACCAACTCAACAAATAACATTTGATTGACTATTATATTCCCCCCCAAACACCAAGCAAGTCGGCTGGATGGTGTAGTTGGTTATCACGTATGCTTCACACGCATAAGGTCCTGGGATCGAGCCCCAGTCTAGTCACTTCTTTTTGTTTTTTCCCGCACCCCAACGCAGCTTAGCGTCGGAAAGCTTTAGACAGTTTCAGAAAACATCGAATGAACCCCCCGGTTCAACCATAATTTCTAAATCTTGTTCTATATGTCACCGTGATGAGAACAGCACTGTGCCAATTTACGAAAGATGACCTTTGTGAATAATGTTGCCGATATCAGCCAAGCTGTGCCTCTCCCATGATGAAGATGTGTCACAGCTCAGAAATATATTTTCCCATCATGAGCCGAAGTATGTCGATAGTGCAGACATATCTAGTTACATGCTCAAGGTCACGATCACTCGTTCTAAGCTGTACTCTCATATAATCTAATCACTTACCCACAAAATTAAAACAACCTTCGTATGTTGAACACAATGTTTGGAGGATATTATTTACTTCAAATAATACGTTTGGAGTGTTTAGCGTTGGCTTGGGAACTAGCGGCCATAAGATTATTCTATGACATGCTGAAATCCATACGTATACATCTACACATCTGCCCTAATTCCACCCAGATTGAATCCCTTCACTTGATTCAACCTCCCCTTACTGAACATCCAACCCCTAGCACAATCAATCCAACCAACCCAGCACCACAAACCCAATCTTACCCCCCCAAATACCAACCAATTAACTAATAACCGTCGTCAACACCCCCGGCTGCTCCAAAAGCAACAACGGACCCGCCACCACACTCTCCTCCGTGGGAGCGCCCACCTCATCCGCAATAACCAACGCCACAATACCCGCCTCCCTATCAAAGCACCCCGGAACCACCGTCTCATTCGTCCCAAACTCAAACAACACACTAACAACCTGCACACCATGAAAAAACACAGCGTAGTATTCCCTCCCTTCTTCAATCTTCACCTCCCCATTAAATATAAGCTGGATAGTAGAGCCAGGTTGGCCGGTCATTGTCGAAGTCGAAGTCGAAGTATGTGTAGTATTGAGAGAAATAGACGGTAAATGCTGGTTCGGAAACGGATACTCCGGATTCTCCGTAGGACAAGAACCCGGAATAACGAACTCGTTGGTAAGTGATAAGATCTGATTCGGATAGGGATATATCGTATCCGAGGGTCCAGAGAAGGGAAGTACATCCCAGATATCAATCAAAGACCAGGTATTATGTCTTGTTTCGACGGAGGCGATGGCCACCAGTGCAGATCTCGTATCTAGGGTTTCTGCTTGACGAACTAAACCCGTTAGGAATGCCATGCTGTTTACTTCGATATAGACCTGTAAGGCGAGGAAGGTTGCAGGGTCCTCGGCGGTGAGGTTGTAGTTGTATTGACACGGGCCTGGAGTCACGGAGGTATTGGAGATTTGGTTTTGGAAGATGCGGATGTGGCCGGCTTCGTTGTTGCGGATTTGGGCGATGCGGTCGTAGGTGTTGTTGGGGTAGCCGAGGGAGGTGAAGGAGGATGGAGTGTAGAGGTTCACGGCTTGTTGGTAGAAGGAGTAGATGATCCATTCGGCGCTGAGGAGGTTTTGGAAGAGGAGGTCGTCCGGGCCGGGGGGCCGGTGGTGCTGGCTGGGATGAGGCGGGTGTAGTTGATGGGGAGGGGGGTGGGTTTGCCGGTGTAGGTTGTGAAGAGGGGGATTCGCCGGGGGTAGGGTTGGGGGTGAGGGGGAGTTGGGATTGGAGTTGGGGTTTGGGGAGGGCGAGGGTTGTGCAGATGAGGGTGAAGATGATTATGGTATTGAGGGATGGCATGGTGATGCTGTGCATTGGATTAAAGCTTGCGATGAAGATTTTGGGAAAGAGTAATAGTTGGGATGAAGATGCTTGAACAATGCTATTGATCTGAACAAGCTGGACAATCATGGCTTTATATCGAGTGAATACCCTCAATGATGTCACCTGGCACACTGCACCTCTATCCAGCTAGGAATCCGCAGCTTTCTTGACTTCATACACATCATACTTACCTTCTGCCCAATCCATCACTGCGATGTTGTTCTGCACTGGACGATTGATGCAAGCGCACCAATCATTGCCAAGTACCGTTTCATCCACGCTAACCAAATGCGACAAGGTAGTTGCCGGTACGAAACACATTCCCGATCAGGACTAGATCGTATTCGAAACGGACCCACACGGCAGGACCCACTTTGGAATTGGACCTGTCGAGCCGCGAAGCAGCGAAAATAACGAGCTGCGGCGTGGCCGGCATTGATACGACCTCACATAAGCACAGCCTCACATAAGTTCTGGACAACTGCGGAGCTGGCCGATCAGCTCGCCCGGAATTAGTCTAAGCTTTGTTAGAACAAAGAGATCTCTGCACAGGTTGCATCAGCGAAGCCGGGCTGAGGCCCGTATCGTGTACTAACCCAAAGTGGTAATGCGTTTCGTTTCGTAGATAGAGGCTTCGCGATATTCACCACATGGCAGGCATCTATGGCATGGTCTCATATATAAGTCGACTACCATGCTGTGATAAATGATCTCTACTCACAAGTATCGGATTCCCACATCTTCATAGAGCCATCCTATCAACACTACTGCCTTTAGCCCTTTGACACAATGACTATCGTTACAGTCAAACATGTCGCCATCGCCGAGCTGGTCGTCTACATACCCATATCCCTGGTGACACTCCTCGTTGTTCTTCGTCATGGCTTTCACAAACAGCTGGGCTGGATCTATCTCTTCATCTTCAGCGGGATCAGAATCGCTGGTGCCGTGATGGAGATCATCAGTGAGAAGCATCCCGACAACACCAGCGACGTGGAATGGGCAACCATATTGCAATCAGTGGGACTTTCCCCTCTGTTGTTATCGAGTCTGGGTCTTTTGAAGAGAGTGTATGTGAATATCCAACAAGTTCTCATGCCTTCGTTAAATTAACAGGAGACAGCTTTGATGAGATCTGCCAGCATGGGCCATCCTCTCCAGGCTCCCGACACAATATGTTATTGCAGGAGTTGAGCTCAGTGAGTGGTATTGCAACAAAACTGTAAGCCTCATATCACCCAGGATAAAGCAGAGCTGACATGTTCAACAGTATTGGAATATATTCCCAAAAAGCGACTGCTATTTCGGGTCGCAGCAAAATCGTCCAGCTCCTTCATGTTCCGTCCCTAATCGCTTTGATTCTTTCAATCATGGGCGGTACAGACCAAGCCTCTTCGAATCCGTCCGACCACGCCGGAGGAAAGACCGAAACCCGCGTTGGGATTATCATATTCCTCGCAGTATATGTCGCCCTCTGCATCCTCTGGTTGACGACCGTCAAGGACCTACAACGGATGGCATCAAGCCAGAAGCGCATCATTGGAGTGGTGCTAATAGCATTGCCCTTGATCGCCTGTCGCTTGCTGTACAGTCTGATCAGTGACTTCAGCCATGACCGTCGTTTCTCGCTTGTCTCTGGGGACGTCACAATCCGCCTGTGCATGGCTATCATCGAGGAGTTTTTGGTGGTGTTGATGTACACGATACTTGGCGTTTTTACCCCTCGATCGGATGCCAACAGGGTCCCTTCGAGCCCTCAACAATGGCCGTATGGGACTGCGGACCCAGAGTCCCATACCGCACCTATTGTCCCTCGCGGTGCTGGTCGTCAGAAGTATGAACCTGTTGGACCCGAGTACAGCCATCTCCGACAGTGATGTTTATCAGCAGTGTACTGTCACAGCTACAGACAGATTGTTAGACATAAGGGATTGGAAGTTTGACGCACAAAAGAGAGATTCACCATGTGAAGGAGTGCTATGGACATATGTAACAACAGGAAGGTCATGTTGCTTGTCGTGATTGCCAATTCAGGGGTATTTAAATAGATTTGATTTTGGCGTCAATTGGAGTTTCGAATGAATAGACCTCGAGCCGTCAGGCTTGTTCTGCATACTCAGCTTCAGCTTCCTCAACTGTTCCGCCATCCATGGCACGAAGTCTATATTTCGATGATAGCCATGCTCGCGAATCCACACCATCTCGCAGCAGTTGCGCCATTGCCAGGGCTTGGTTGATCCCCATGGAATGGCCGATCTTTGCTAGGCAATCCGTAATCCATCGCCGAGTTTGCTTTGAGGCATAACCGGAGTTCGCGGCAATCAACAGTGGCCACATGATGGTAAAACCGCCCGCCGCTGGAACCCCAAATGGGGAGGATGTGGATGATAGCAGAGGTGCTCCGAATTCTTGATAATTATTCGGCGTTGGCGAGGTTCCTCCACCAGTGTCACTAGAAAGTCGGTCCAGATGGCCGGTCTCTACCACTGATCCGAGATGAAAAGGCACGCTGGCACAGATATCACTGACCAATTGCCGCGAGATTTGTTGACTTTCTCTCACCAATTCATCCGGCTCTCGTCCGTCGATATTGCCCAAAGAGTGCCGCCCAACGCTACCGATCGCCTGGACAATCAACTCGCGGAGGACCAGCCTAGCAGATCGATAATTGTTCCAAAAGCTACTCACGGTGAAATCCCTGTAGGTATGGTATTGAGCCCCCAAGACAGAGTCGACCGTAGGCTCCCCACGAGCTAGGGCAACATTGATAGTGTCATAGTTCCATGAATCTGGTGTGGTGGATACAATGGACATTATATCTGTATCCAGCCGTAATGCAGCGCGGACAATTTCAACCGGTTGCCTGATCGTGCCATCTTTGATGGCTGCACAAAGGTTGCCGAGCTGGATAGTCACGCTGCTAAGCCGGTCGACGGTGACATCATCCCCTTTTCGATATGTTGCTGCTTCCAGGCTCAGCTGAGCAATAATCGGTGAGGTGTATTTTTGGCGATAAATATGACTAAGGATCTGTGTGGAATCAGCTGTACATTCCCCGTTGGGAATAGGCGCAATATGCGCAGGGAGGTCGGGAATAATGGCCCGGTGAAAAGAAACAGTAAAAAAGAAGGATTCCAGACATACAATTTGAGCACGTAATTGACTGAATAACAACAGTCCTTCTGGTTGAGTTAATTGCTCTGACCCCCGGGTTTCAATCAGGGTTGCCGCGCCATCGAGATGTTTCATCCAACGAGTGATAAATAATCCATCGCTACATGCCATCACCTGCATGCCGGGACTGATTAGCAGAACCCATGTCATTCAGAGTATCAACCTACCTCAAACATGCCGAGGAGCACGACGGATGCTAACGTCGCATCCTTCTTGCACAAGGCGGTGGTATTGAGGGCATGGCCAGTCTGCGACAAGGCCGACATGTAGTACTGACGAGCTGTAGACATTAGCCGCGGCGACATGTAGATGTTGGATAATGCCGCCAAGCCGGCAGCTGATAGCGCATCGTTGACTGCCGAGTTCCCTAGATGTTTGGTCAACGTTGACAGATACGGCATATATGCCCCTCGGTTGCCTGGAGCAATGTAGTTGACAAAGATATAACCCTTTGCTAATTCTTCCATTGGATGCGAGAGGGCTGACCAAGGTGCAGGCGAGGGATCATCGACGAAGCGGGTTTCATTGCTCGCTCTCTTGCGGATAGTGGTGTCGGATTCTCGTTGAGCCTGACGCTGTGCCTTGCGAATGACATCCCGACTCTGGTCACGGAATTTACACTCCAGTCCGGCACGATACCCTGGGCAGTCAACTTTGGCCCGGATACACTGAGAACATGATGGTTTTGCTTGGTCGCACTGGTTGACCCATGATTAGTCAAAATCCAACCCAATCGGTCTAGGAAAAACTGCATCCCCGTGCCTGTAAGCTGGAGCGAAATGGCTGTACCTTCAAGCGCCGCGGGCGACACCGTTCGCAGGCCAGGCTGGGTTTCCCGCGGTAGACCATTTTCGTGAGATGAAATCACGTAGAGCACTGGCTGATCTTCAGCGTAGATGGGATCTGTGGACTGTGGATCGCAAGATGAGGTAAAATGGGCCTTGATGATGGAATGATGGAGGCCAGCCGCAATCGGGCAACAAGGCTGACCATCATCGACGGTTGCATGTGACTCCGCCTTTCCGCCAATCAGGATGAGCACAAAATGGCCTAGGCCCCTTTTGGCCATTGCTGCCTGGCAGCCTGTCTCTGTCAGGTGACCACCACACGGGCATTTGGCCTGGTCCCTTCACTTATCCCTAATACAAATTTCATAGGAGATGCACGGAGACATGAAAATCCCGGTTGGAAATAATTCGAGCGCGCTTAGTTGAGCCATGTCTGGTGGTTGTCGTGATCGTAGGTAGCTCTGTGCATAGGTTAGCGATTATGCCGTGGTATGGGCCTTGCTTGAAGATGGAAGAGTAGAGAGACAGAAATCGCAGACAAGATAACAGGAACAATGGCAATAATGGGACGAGTTCGTGCTTTAATACATTGTCTTTGTTTGATATTAGGGCACAAAGAGGAAATCCGTCTCGTTGTTCCTTCGTGTTCCGCTGAATCTAACCCTGTTGGCCTTAATTACCTCCGACCAGACATACATTGTTGGATAATTATTACCACCAATAATAGCGATGCTCTCGACTGTCCTTAACGACTTCATCTGCGGGTCTTTCCGTTACATGAGTCAATTGAGAGTAACTCCGCCAGCTGAGAATCAACCAGACTCAGTCCATGGTTGCGATGTTCCCTGTGCAATCTAGGATAATTCCGGGTTATTTAGTGAGTGATCCTAGACATATCGTGGCAGAAAATGATATTACTCAGTGAATGTCTTGTCATTCCATTTGCAATATGCTAAATATGTAGAGACAATCTCGGTCTGATCAAATCACATCTCTGGAATTGATCCACTGTTCCTTTCGGCCTTGTGCATAGACGAGCCAGTCTTGCTATCATAGCGCTGACCGGAGTCAAAGCCAGCAAGAGGTGGTGCAGCAATGTCGTAGTCCACATACAAAACGCAAATAAGCAAGAATAGTCCTCGCGGTACCTCCTAGGACAAATTCCACAACATAGCATCCATTTCCTCCAGCTCATACACCATGCGAACCCCCGTACTCTCAGCCATCAAAGTCAGGCTGCCAAGCAAAACCCTGATTTCTTCGAATCTAGTCTGCTCGCTGCAGATATGCAGGTTAATGTTTTCCAAACGAGGCGTCTCCTCATCCTTAACTTTGAGCAGCGCCTCAACATCGGAGATTAGAATGTGCACAAACTTCGATAAGACTTCCGTAATCGTGATCGATGTAAGTGAGCTGGGCAGCAGATCAACCGGAAACGGTCGAGTGTATTCGTCGGAATTCTGTTTCCATTTGGAATCCGGAAGACCTGCCAAGTTCGCATGCCGGATTCTCAGTTTCTTCAAAACATGAAACTCTCTGAATGAGCCAAATGGGAGATGCTCGATATTCGCCCCCCAAGAACGGGCATTTCTAAGACAGTTCACGCGGTAACGATGCTGACTATCAAAATCGAGAGAAAGTGACTCGAGGGTGTCCTTTGACGGTAGCAGAAGCTGGCGGAATTCACTCGCTCGGAAGTAATAATGTGTCCAAGAAAGTTCGTTCTGGCTTCCTATCTCGACCTGGAAATGGGTTAGTTTGCCAGAGAGCATCATCCCATCGTGCGTTTCTTTGGGGTTGTGCGATTGGATGGCGTCGGACAAATTCGGATTCAAATCCCACAGCCCATGAAAATGGATTCTGCGAACTGTCGGTAGATACAACAGGCTCGTTGCAAATTCCGAAATTGTTTCCGTATGTTCAAGCTCGCCGTTCAAGCTGACTGCTTGGAGAAAGGGTAAGGAGAATCTCCTTTGGCCAACAGGTCGCCCAGAAAATCCCCACGAGACCCGAACTCTTCCTCGGATGTCAGACGACATATCTTCGACAATGAGTGGTACAAATTGAGTCTTGCCACGGGACTCCAGTGTGATGCTCTCAAGATGAGTCAAGCGAGTGAGCAGTACAGCCAGCAAGGCATCAGGGCAGTTATTTTGGAGGTGATCTTTCCACCAAGCCCTGTCCTCCTTTTCTTCGCATACTTCGTTTGCCATTTCCTCAACCAGCTCTTTATCGCCCGCGACACGATCGAAATCGGTGCACAGGCAGCTGTAGGAGTGTATATTTGCATTCCTAACAGAGCACGCCAGGTCGGGACGACGCCATAAATGCTTCACAAGACAGGGATGAGGGCCCCTTCCTTCAATGGACGAGAAGATGAGAGGACTAAACACCTCGTACAGTCGACGAGAGCATTGGCTCAACGCCCGCCTTGTCTCCAAATCATCGATCTGTTGGTCAATAGACCAGAGGACCTCGACTGGTAGCCGATCCATTGCGTGGTGGTTGGTTGCAGTAAACTTTCTTTTCAATCTATACTCTCGACTCTGTTTGACCTCTCAGAAAATCCTGCATTCACTTGAGATCTGCATTCACTTGGATCATACCTATGTGTTATGCACCGGCTGCCTGGACATAAGCTCGGACAGTAAGAAGAATAGAAAATGCCATCCCATCACTTATCATCTGTTACAGGCTGGTGGTCTCTCGCCATAACACCGATGCACAAAGAGATAGCTCTCCTCAACCGGTGAGATGTCATGGAACTGTATACATCCAGTGATGACAACAAGACCCAATGTGTGGACCTGCAATGCCAAGACCCGGCAATCCACCAATGACGTCACCTCCCACCACTTGGTCCGTGCGGGGTATTTGCTTCATCATCAAATCTTGTTATCAGACAACGCCTTCTACCACACCATCTGCCTTTCCAGCATCCCCCTCCACAAACAACTACAACCATGACAAAGACAATCGTCGCAACAGGCACCTCATCAGGCCTGGTAAGCTTCCCATCCACCCCCATTGCAATTGACTAACAAATCACAGGGTTTCGAAGCAATTAAGCAATTGCTGCAGCAATCGGAGCCTTACAACTTCATCCTTGGGGCACGAGACACGGCCAAGGTCCAGGCTAAATATGATAGTCTTAACTATGATACTTCTAAGCACACCATTACGATTTACCCCCTGGACCTCTTATCCCTGAAGAGCGTGCAGTCCTTTGCAGAAAAGGTCCTTTCAAAGCTGGGTTCGAAGCAACTGGCCTATCTCTTCCTCTGTGCAGGCACGCTGGACAACGCAAGCGGCCCTGGTCCGAATGGGTCGCAGTGGTGCGAGGGGTATGTGGTTAATCATTTGGGTATGTGGAAGCCTCAATATACAGAATGGAGCGGCTAATGATGATCAAAAGCCCAGCACTATCTGCTTCATTTGCTCCGTGACGCGCTGTCTGCCTCGCAGTCACGGGTTGTTGTCGTTTCTTCAGGTGCAATTCGCAGCGTTAGAGACCAGGATCCGGGTAAGTTTTCCCACACTTTCGCCTATACTGCAGATATTGACTTCTATTAGCAACCCTCGACGTGGACCTTAAAGCAAACTCCAAAGCGGGTTACCGAGCAGTGTACAGCGCCTCCAAGTTTGTGCAGCTATTGGGTGCGATTTACTGGCGCCGCGAATTGCCCTCGTGCACCGTCATTGCTGTTTCCCCGGGTTTGATCCCTAGTACTAAGCTTGCCACGAACATGGGTTTGACCATGGATATGCCCGATGCTAAGAGCATTTCCGAGGGTAATACCTTTCACTGCTATTGTTGTTTTGGAGCACATCTAACGTCTTGACAGGAGCCCAGAACCTTCTTCGCGCCTTTTTCGTGAATGACTTTCCGTCCGACCCGGAGCAGATCTTCTTGACTAGCTGGGGAGAGTGGTGGTCGATGGATGTGTATGCCATGGCTCTTGATACTGACTTGCAGCAGAAGTGGTGTTTGAGTAGGGAGGAGATTGAGAAGGCGGAAGGGCTTGTTTGAGGATCTCGATATCCGAGTTGGATATAATAGATTTCTAGAGAGGGCTATGCTATGGAACTCAATCATAGATCAAACTTTTGATCGAATAATACAGCCGACAGAAAACATATCATACAGGGTAATATGCTCTATCTCACTGTGCCGAGAATAGTCACCACCTTTCGAGAAAATCTGAGGATGAAGATGGGTTGGTCGTCCTGCCGTGGGAGCCTGTGCTCTTTATATGTCCTGCTTGCGCATGATGCCTCCTATGCAGCTTAGTTCTGGTGCCAGAGCAGACGTTGAGCACTGCCACCGAGCTGGGCAGCGACTGACCGATGCTAACATGGTAGCCTAAGGTACGTTGTAAGTTGTACTATTCGTCGGGCTGATGCATGATTAGATAACCTAGTGCAAAGCACTTTCGGCCTGGGCCAATGATAGCCCTTGATGGGGGCTACTGCCAATGTTGCATCCCCAGAGGAGCCTCGCCAATTGGTATAGACCTGCAGTTGAAGGTGTTCATCAACCACGAAGTAGACGCTTCCGAGTACACAATGGCCGACAGAGACATTTCGTGGATGTTAGGTGGTTAGTAGGGCTGCACGGGTGGTATCACTGTAGATTAATAGATAGATTTCGGGGGATTTTTCGCAATGCAATGGAACTAATTGATGGGATTGGAGGGTTCTGTCTGCGGACCCACTTCCCGCACCCCATCAACAAATCAACCGTGTAGCCTCGGCTGGCGTAGCCGGGAGCCATACACAACATTCGTTCATGAATGATAACTTTTCCACTGTCGCTCCTACTCCTGTTTTAGCAAAAACCGCATACCACTTCCTAACGCCCACTCGCTTTACATAGGCGTATCCGGGCGAATATACTATAACCTTTGGTGTACCTGAGCTAACAGTTACCAGCTATGAACACGACAGCACATGATGAAAAGTGGTAGTAATGACACCTAATGCTCGCCTTCAATCAAAATAATGACATGTGCTAATTCTCTGAATCCTTCCATGAAACCTGCCCTCAACTGCCCCTCAGCCTTCTTTTTTCCTGTCCAGTTTCGTCCGCTCTATATATCCCATTTTACTCCCGTGGACTGCATTAACCGAACTGTATAACCTTTCCTGATTCAAAGCCGCGTGCCGCTAGCACTGCTCCGCTGCTTTATTTCGATAGGAACTACTTACTCCTCGTAGCCTAGTAGTAGGTACTGTGTGACATGGTCCGGGTCTCCCGCGAGCCGGTGTTGCACGAAATTGCTCCGAGTACCTTAGCTCTAGCTAGCTCTATGTCACCATAGCTCATGCCAGCCCCGTGTCACATCAGGATACAGTGGGCGGATGACTGGTCCAGACCCAGGGACTTTCCCACTAGATTTGCTGTAAAGCCCCTCCGGCAACGCCTGCCACTTTTCAATTGTTGGTATATCCCAGCTCTATGCCAACCACCGCGAGTTGACTTCCTCCAGCTGTTCCAGAATCAAGACCTTTCAGTCGTTTTAAATTACAGTTGCCTGGTTCTTTCAATATAGCACAGCTTTACTGCGTTCCCAATTTGTTTTTCCATCCCACCCTGTACCTCTTACATTCTCTCAACCCAACCTCTTGATTTCCATCTTCCAAATGGCACTATCCCCCGAAGCTATTATCGCTCTCGCAGCACTCTTCATTGCATGTATTCCCGGAATTCGACTCGTCCTCAACTATACCTCCCGGATATCTCACTGGTGGATTACCCAAGGTACAAACCATCACTGTTCATCTCGGATAGAACCCTAACCAGACCAAGATACACTCGCCATCCACGAGAATGACCAGCAAGGACTCGACACATACCACCCTCTAGGCCCGATTCCCAACCGACCGCGACCCTCGAACCCCTTCCACCACCCCTTCTTTGTCCTGTTGCAGCGACATCTTCCAACCAGAGATCCCACGCCTCTACAGTTAGAGGCTGGATTTATATTCTATAGTGGGGTATTTTATTCATTCACAGAATACCATGTTCTGATGTATTGACCGACGAATTATGTTAGGCATATAGTATAGCCCAGAGTGAGGGGAACGAGTCTCTGGTGTGGAGCGTTGCATCATCGGAGAACATGCGCCATTTGGGATAGCCCTGATAGATGAGTCTCGTTGCTGATGGGGAGCTTAATTTGGTGGAGTAGAGGGTTCTGGGGTTAGGGGTTGTATATGTGGTGTTGTGGATAGGTCATTGTATATTAATCGTTGTGAGGATGGTATGTTGTTCTGACAATAGGATCGTTGGGATAGTGAAATGTGGAGGGAACGAGGTATGTGGCTGGTTTAGTATATGGACATTGTGCTGACTTTGGTCATCTTTGATGGAGATGGTTGGTGTCCAGGACTGGGATTCACTGAAGATGATGTTGGAGAGTCCCAGTGAGTGCTGGCGGTGGGACTACAGTCCCTTTTATAATCCCAGATTCAACTATTTTCGCGGAATACCTCTGACAATCAGGGGAATGATCCAGAGACATCCTCCGATGTGTAGACACCTTTCTAGTTTCATTCCCTTTCTTCGTAGATCAAAGTCACTAGAAGCCGTTCCCTACTCAACTCACGTCTCAGGCAAGTAACCCTAATCACTGACCGTAGTCATTTGGATATTCACATCTAGTCCTCTCTCCTACCAAGCATATTTAAACCCCATACATCCCACCCTTTCTCTCCTCCTTTATCTCCTCAACCCACTTAACCACACCTCCTACAATCTCACCATCTTCATAATAGAATCGACCCTATGTCCAGACCCACCTTCCACAATTATTATTCCTACACATGATCCAAAATCTCGAAACTATCATATACAAAAACCACCACCATACTCTATCCCGTACTCAAATATCATGATCACCTGCAATCAACGACAACGAGATCGAAACAATTCCACAGCATCCAGCCCACAGTCCCAACGGATTTCCACTACAATTCTGAAATCCTGTCAACCGATGACACAAACCAAAGCCGAACCTAGTCCTCCGATAATCCAACAAGGTCAGATAAAGCACACGAAGCAATCCCATCCAGATCCAATCTCCTTCATCCAAGCTGAACCACACCAAACAATGTCCAAAACCGAACCTGCTATTCGTACAACAAATGCTATATCCACAGATAAACAGCCACAATATATAAACAAAACCAGATCACAGGCTAAGAAGCACCTCACAAATCTTCAAAACAGGAGCAGGAGGCGATAAGTTCTATCATTATGACATTATCCTAAATATAGTGAAAGAAGTGCTAAATTCAAGGTCTAGCACAGAACTCAAAAGAAAACCAAGGTAGTGAGAAGACAACAGCTGGCTAGTTCTTATTCTTGAGACGATCATGATGATGGTCATTGTGAACAGCTACTATCACCCAAAACGTGGAGACTCGACAACCTCTATGAGGAACTATCCGTATTTCCTGGCGCTGGAATTAACTGAAACTGATCGATACAGAGTACAGAAATATACTCTCGCGGATATATGTGAAGACTGTCGCACACAAATCCTTGGGAACATATCTTAACCAAGGAAGATTTACAGGTTCAAGGCTAGGAATGTGAAAAAGCTGATCAAAGTGAAGCCTCGTCTCCTGTGTAGCCAGCTGGTGATGCAGATTACCAGACCCACGCTATTTTCTCTAATATAGATCTTGGCTGACCGGTCAAATCACAGCAGGGCTGTCTAGTCTGATTTCTGGTTATAGGATATTGTGGATTAAGAAACAAGATCACCACATCTGATTTCTTATCCTGATGAAGATTTTGCAGGCTGAATATTGTCCAATCCCATATGTATGATATAGTCTTACTAGCTCTTTAGTAGTTACTAACTGGTTGCAGCACGAATGGGGTTCAACAAACAATCTGACAAAACACATAATGAAGTGTCGGATTCGAAGATCATCACCGGAGTTCACTCGTTTACAGGATGTAGATATAAGAAGCAGGTTAATATCATTGAGGACTTCACACAGAAGTGTGAGGAGGCTTTTTCGTGTTTAGTCCGGCCTACTCAGCCTAATACTGCAGACGTGCGTTTATTTAGTGAGGGATGACGAAGGCAGACACTGAATAAGCCATTGAACGTTAACCCCAAGGTTGGACAAACATAGAGTGTCATTTATCCACGACTATCAAGTCGAGGACACTTTTCAAATGACCTTAGCTATTAGCACAACTAAATATCAATGATACCACATCAGAGTCAAACATATCGACACCCTGTGCAGCCTCCTCCAAAGACAGGATATATGATCATCGACCTACAAGTGCACAATGCGGTAGCACATATCCTACACATGACAGGTAGGGGAGAAAAAGCCGAGAAGCTAATGCGAGAGTATGATGATGCAGGGTTGCTCGCTCCCAGAGGTGGGAGCGACGTCGAGGCGTTGACCGCCGTTTCCAGGGTAGCTTAAAAGTGACTCTGCTCATTTCTTCCCTGTACTTATCAGATGCAGGAAATTTCGGCGAGTACAAGGGCGCACCAGATGACAGGGAGTTATCCTGAGTTCTAGACGATAAATACGTCCTGGGAACCTCATCAGTGTTGTACAGATGAAAGCCACATATAAGATACCGACGCAGTTGGTTGCTGCTCAAATGGCGCTATTCAAACAATTGACGAATGTTATACGCTTCACAATCAACGGGTTTATAAAATAAATCGACTAAGAAAGGCCTCGTGAGGGGCTTCCATGACTTAGTGTCGAGAATATTTAGGGCTAGAGGACAACGATCAACAACGCTGAAGGGATAAGTACTCAAGCGGGCGAATATCTAGTCCCCTTTTCCTTTGCGAAAGCCTGGATCCGCGTCTTTTCAAGCGCATATTAGCAATTTTCTTAATGGGCAGGAGATAAAAGCATATGCTTTATATTCACTTGAAGTGGTTACATGTACTGTGAGGTGAGGGGGTCGGTAGGTAGCTTGGAAAGTGGAGGATGGTCTATCTAGTTTTAAGGACTTGAATTATCCTGGATGATGCCGATGCTGGAGAACCTTGTTATACTCTTAATTCTTGATTTAATACAAGACAAGACACAAGCTTAACATTCCAATTAGTATACTAAAACAATCAACATTATCAATTCTCCTTCCTTTCCTCCCCAGACCAGCCATCCCCTAAGTAAGCTACTCCCACTCCCTCAACAACATATTCCCCCTAACCAACCCCTCAAACCCCACCACATGAGTAGAATGACACCACGGCTTTACCCCAACCTCCTCCCTAATAACCCCCGCAAACACCCCACTCCAGCCCTCCCTCTTCCACCTAGTATTAATCTCCCTTCTACTCTCCTCACACACCAACCCCCCAAATCCTTCATCTGGGGATGTTCCCCCACATTATCATAGATCGTCGCCAACTGAATCAACTGTCCCAGGAAGGTAATGTTCCCATCCACACCCAGATCCTGATGTCGAATGATAGCCTCGGCAACGGCTTCGGCGACGTCGGTGGGACATCCGAACGAGGTGAGGACGGAGAGGGCTTTGATGCCCCCGAATAAGTCGAAGGACATGTGCGTGCTGGTTAGGAGGGAGGGGGCGGTGCCGATGTCGTGGAGGAGACAGGCGAGGGCCCAGGTTGTGGATTGGAGGGGGGAGGTGGGGAATTGTTGGGTTTGGATGATTTTTCCTGAGGAATTTTAGATATATTAGAAGGGGGAAGACAGGGAGAAAGGAGATGGGGAGGGGAAAAGGGGGGGAACCGTAATGGTAGACTCGCATGGAGTGGTTGAGGGTCTCGCGGGGAAGGATGGATGTCACGTAGTCGAGGGTCTGGGAGACGATGGGGTCGGTGGAGGGAAAGTCGATCTTGCTGAGAGGGATCGGGGTGGGGGCGTTAATGTAGGGCTTGTTGCCAAAGATGAGGGCCGGGTTGGCGGGGGTGCTGGTCCAGCCGTTGAGGGCGATTTCGTCGTGGCACATCTTGGTAGTAGAAGCAGAGAGCAGAGGATGAGAGAGGATTGAGTGAGTTGAATTGTTTGGAAGAATTGGAGGGAGTGAGGGTGTCTGGACGGCTTTATATAGCAGTCTTCCCTCTATTGCTGCTGCGATTTGTAATGTAGAAGGTGAGATGAGGGTGAAAGCATGTCCCCGCGTGGTGTCACGGCCCGATTAGGAAGTCTTTTGGAGTGGGGCTGCCGCTTAAAGTTACTCCACATCGGGTCTAGATCCGGCAAGATGCACCAATCAACATGGGATGCTATTTATGGACTGGTTGAAACCGGACAGTTGTAGGGATAGGTACAATGGCTGCAAAGACAGGCGAGCTGCATTAGCAACAGCACACATAGACTACATCGTATCTTGGTAATACAAAGAGGATTTACAGCTACTATGATATCTAAACATACCGCAAACACTCCATTATAATCACACCTGACCCAGGAGCAACCCATTCGGTAACATAAGTCATCCCAAATTAACCAATATATGACAGTAAAAATAACACAAAAGGTATCAACTAATCTAGCTCATAGCGCTGCACTTCTTGCGACGCCATCATCTCATGCGGTTGGGTATGTCTCTTGGTATCCAATTCTTTCGCCGGTTCACTATGTTGCCCCCAGGAAGCTCGGCAAACCCGCGGTACACCGTCTGTCGTTCGGTTGCAGCAGCTTGACCGCGACGGCGACGGAGAAGAATCGCCCCCCAGACTCCTGCCGCAATGACAATCGCTCCACCCACCCCCACACCAACGCCGATGCCCACCTTGGCTCCAGACGACAAGCCACCGTGAGAGCTGGTCGAGTTGCTAGAGACTTCGATATTCCAGTACTTGGCCCAGCTCTGCTCCCAAGTATTGTTGGATCCGGAAATCGTTCCATCGTTAACATTGATGGTGGTGATATCGGCACTGGCATGATTAGGCCCAGGCGCTTGTGCGAGGAACCAAGTCCCCGTGTTATTTCCCTTGAACCAGTTGACCCCAACAAATGCCGACTGGAGAAAAGCCCGACCAAACACCGGGGTGGAGTCGGAGAGAAAGCAGGGAAAGTAAGTCGTGTTCTGGTCGACCAGCGGTTCCTGCAGCGTCAGGTTCAGCTGGGAAAAGGGAACCTTGATGGTGAAGTTCTGATTGTTGACGCCATTGTTGTTGAATGTAAAGGAGAGATAGGCAGCCGACGAGGTGATATTCAAGTAGTCGCTGCTGGTCGTATCCCAGAAGTACAGTCCCAGGCTAGAGTTGAAGGAGATCGGAAGCGTAGAGGTGATGGCATCGCACGTCGACTGGGGCAGATACATGTAGGGCTTTGTCGCGTCGATCTGGACCGTCTTGGCCAGCACGACCCCACTGCTTTGCAGAAACAAGCCACTCTCGTTGTAGAAGCTAAAAGGGGAGGGACCCGCAGCAACGCCGATCCCGATATCCTTCAATTCGAGTTCCAGGATCCCACTCGATGCGGAATTCACACTGACGGCCTGGGCACTCACGTCCCCCATCACCCGGCTCTTATCATAGCCCCCCAAGACCAGCGAGCCTGCAATAGCGGGATTCACCGAACCAATATGCATCCCATATGAGTAGGACGGAATGTCGCTATTCGAGTAGAGCCATCCTGCCAGCATGTTGAGGGTAGTGGAGTTGGAGATTTGATCGCTCAAGTACGGGGCCCCTATGGCGAGACTGCCGACCGAGACGGGATAGGATTTGCCATTGGGATAGGTCTGGTAGGTCTGGTAGATGGCCTCGAAACTGACATTGGGAACGACAGCCGAGCCCAGACTGACCTCGTCGCCGAGCACGGCTTCAATGGCTCCACCTTGCACCCCCCAGTAGACCGTCTCCCACGAGCTGGGGGTGGTGGTGTACGCAGTGGTGGACTCGTTCTGGTTGAAGGTGCCTGCCTGGGCGGCGTAACAGGTGGACGAGAGCGTTTTGTTCGTGCAGATAGTGTCCATCAAGATGGTGCTGGCATAGTTGGCTCCAGGATAGAGAGCGACGGTCTGTTTGTCGCTGCCCACCTGGATGGACACGGCCTGCCATGGGCCGTCAGGCCCGTAGGCCTGGGACGACCAGTCCATCACATACGGCGTCGCAGCCTGGGAAACTCCCAGCAGAATCCCCCAAAGGGGAAGAATCAAAGGGTGCATCATACCATCAATCGTTTCGCAGGCATTGAAACAGCCTGTGAGGTGGAGGAAAGAAAGGGGAGGCGGAGAGAATATGGTGATGACGGTGCGACGAGGGGGATTATGAAACGAAAGGCGGCTGGAGGACGCAAGGTGGTGATGCCCCTTGGCGAGTTGCGTTGCGCGGTGGGTGTTGGTGTCCGCTGACATGCAGTAGTCTCTTCCAATCAGGTAAGACGCGTGTCCATCCGATGAGATCGACCCCTGGCCAACATCTTCAGCTGGCCGCCGTGCAGTTCGGACCTCACGCGGGAAGTTTCTGAGTTTGACAGCCAGCCAGGTTCTGTCTCCGATGCTTGGCCTGGATCTCTCCCTTGGGGACCATCTTGAACCCTCGAAACATAATGATCAGGCCAACTGAGACAATCCAAGACGCGGCAAGCCTGGTAAGTGGTAAGATTTGTAAGATTGGTAAGATTGAATGCCGTGGAGGAGTGGGGCCAGCACCGAATGGGAATGGGAGTGGGTCCCCGCGGACCAGTGGAAACAAGCAATTGGTCTGGCCCCCACCCTCGTCCCCCCCGTGGCTGCCTTGCACCCTATTTTTCCTCTCATTACCCGAGGTGCTGGCTATCATAGGCTCATAGCACATCAACAGCAGTAATCTCCAGCCGAGTCTAGACAGGTGTTCGTTCATTAGTTTCTCCGCACGGAACATGCCATGTTCCGCGCCAATATTGGTATTTGGTACCTACCCTGACAGAGGCGCTGCACGGATGCTTCGCGGGACGCCTGACATCCGCATTTCCCAATCGGGCCGTAATCGCACCTTGCTGCGAGCTAAGGCCCGGTCATTTTCGGCCTGACGTCGGGCCAAAATGCTTGTAGAGAGGGGGCCTCTTGTCTGCAAGCACACTGCCAATATTCGATACGCCCAGAACACCATCTCGAATGGAAATGGTTTTCCGACATAGGAGATAAGCCTCGCGATGAAATCCTCGGATAAGCGGGTAAGCAGCGATAAGACCCCGGAAAGCGTCAGAGTTTTTCTAGTCTCGGGCACAAGTTCCTATTCCGGATGATTGTTCGCTCCATCCGTCAAATGGATCCATAACCTGCTGGATGCTATAGGACCAGAACGCTGATCAGGCCAACACCCGGGAGAGTTCATCACACTATGAAGTGGAGGACCGGTACAAGCTCCATCGTGGCAGTCTACCAGCCATTCAGGTGTTGAAATCTATCAACTCCTTAGCGACCCGATTTTCAGCAGTCGTTCCAATGGGGGAATGAACCACACCATTTGTGCGTACTCATTCCCCAGGCACTGGCTTATCTCGACCAATTTTTGAATTCTAGAATTAATTCCCCAAGGCGTGTAAGTCCGGTCACATCATTGGTGCGATTTCAGCATCATCTTGACCCAACATAAGCTGAGAGATGTGTCACTCACCTTCCTCGGGCCAAATTCGATTAGATCCCAAATGATAATCCTTGAACGCTCCTAGAGAAGCGAAGCGACAGGTTCACTCATATTAGAAGCCAATCTCCCTCCATCTGGCCGATATTGAAGATCCACTGCGAGCACATCGTGCTGCATTCCTCCTGCTTCCAGAAGTGCCGAAGAAGATTCGCCGCATTGACCACATTGATGCACTTTGTCTCAAACCAGAACTTCTCAAGGCATTCAATCACATATTGTCGCTGTGCCCCCTCCCGGGACTCCAGGCCTGCAACAAACATGGGCCAAAGTATACATTTGAACAGTGCTTCGTCGCTCTTCAATGCATCAATAGTATCGATCAATTCCCCAAGCGAATTACTTAGGGACGTGTTACTTCCGGTTAGAGCATCAAGTACTCGTGTGCCATAAATCAGAGTCCCGAGTTTGTATGACTGCGCCAACTTGCCAAGCATCGTAGATGGTATTGACGAGGGATCAGGATGAGATAAACCGGCTGCCCAGGCATTGCAATCAAAGCTCCGCGTAGAGCCGAGCACAGTCACTACTCTTTGAATGCGGGAATACACTTCGGCATCCTCAAGGTGCTCCGGACTTGTCATAGCGTCCCTGGAGATTGAGAATGAACGGAGGGCGTCCAACAAGTCATCAGGGCATCCGAGATACGCCTTGTCGACACTCATCTGGAGAGACGTGATTGACCGCGACAATGTAGACCTGGATAATAGCCTCGGACGCGTGCAGGTTGCTCCAAGGGTATCGATTCTGTATTTACATCAGTCATTACCCGCTTTGTCGAACAGGATCGTTCTTCTCAAGCAACATACAGATAAATCTGCCTGACAATAAAATCACGCAAGCCTTGGATAGTAGCTCCCAAGCCTTGCTGGGCTGTGGTCTGAGATCCATCGGTGTGGGAGATGCAGTTAATCAATTTTTTGATGCCTTCGAGATGGAAATTCCAGTTATCATTTCCGGATTCCAAGAGATCCAGGAAGATCAGAAGGAATGCGCTCGCAATTGTGAAATCTCGCCGGTATGACCTCGCATCATTCACTGCGCGAGAGAGTCCTTGTATGGCGCGGTACTTGTAGAGAAGGGCACTATGGGATGCGTCGACAGACTCCACCCCATAACATTCCCCTTCGGAGCTATAGAACCGTCGGGTGGTGTTTGCCATGTGTTGTGCCGAAAGAGCAACGATGGACATCAGTAGAACTGGCTCCTCCAAGGCAGCTGGTATTAGGTTCCTCAAGGGATTTTTGTTGGTATCATACATGATGAACAGCTTGCACAAGCACTTGCTATCTGTTTGGTTCAACTTGTGAGATCATACATCAGATATTAATGGAGACTCACAGTAATACAAATAGTATCGAGAGGTTTTGTCCAGGCTGATGATTGAGGGATCATCCAGACCGGGCGGTATGCTGAGAATATCCAAGGGACCTGCACCATGACATTCCCTTAGCATTCCCATTGAAGCTCCACGGGATAGCCACTTTGGAGAGTCAACATTACCATCGGAATTGTCAATCCATGTGGCATATGCTCGATTCGATGTCCCAATGGAAATGCCCTCGCTGATGGTCAACGGTGACTCGTCTACCGTAGAAGAAACCAAATTTATCCTGGCGGATATAGATTTTGGCTTGCCGCGAAAGGCTGCCCCCTCGACCCATCTGAGAGGTCTCTTCTGAAAACACTCTAGCCCAGCTTTTGTGCATTTGCCGCAAGGCGGCTGAGACATGTCACATTCAACGCGCCTCCTGCGGCAAGTATAACAAGAGGGAGGCATCTTCCTGCTTCAAGGATGTCGGTCCACATGTAGGACCTCGAATTCTGTTATAGTTCCACGATAGGTAGCTAGAATCCTGGTACAAGGGGCGTTGGACATGGCTCATGCCTCGGCTCCAACGTGTCTTGGGCGTGCAATCTGCAATGAATGGAACCGAAGAATGCGGGGAAGCAGTCAATCCGTGAGTCACGTGACAACGTCCCATTCCACCAATCAGAACACCAATCGAGTTTGCTCGGCACTGACGCGATCCATGATGGTGCCGCCATTTCTTTGTCCTCCGATCATCTACACATATTACTAGCAAGTCCATCTGTCAAACCTAGGTATCAGGCCCAGATCTTGTCAAATAGAATGCTTCCAACCAAACGTGAAGCTAATCTTGACCAGGAAACACGGTGCGCCACGAATACGATCAAGGCCATTGGGGTGTTGCGGTCGGCCATGATCAAGCCACCGGATATTTTATCAGCGTGTATGACCGGCGTCTGGAGATCGAGACCAACAATGGCGACGACTTTGAGCGTCTGGCCTACAGTGTCGCCCCCGACGGAACCGGGTGCTATCTCAACGCTTATACTGGACGATTCGGAATGGGACAGAAAGTGAGTCTGAAGACGATGGAACGTTTGTGGAGGATGTATGGGGCCCCCAAAAGTGACATGGACTTGCTTCGCGAGAATCTTCCGAGCGCCTAAGTCGTTGGATTCTACTTCATTCTTCGCAACTGTGCTGTACTAGTTAGCATTAACAAGTTGCTTGTTCTCCCCAAATTGGCATTAGCTTTGGGGCCATCACATTGCTCTCATATTCTCTCCTTCAGTATCCTTTTTTTTTTTTTTTTTTTTTTTTGCAATATCTCTAACAAATCTCAAACTCGATGGACTATATGTCGTCCTGCACATTAGGAATGATCCCCCCCCTTCCCCCCAATGAACCCAAGTCGTTGGGGTTCTACTTCCACAAATATCCCAAAGAAGGCGGGTTCAAGTACCGTGTAAAGGAAGAAGGTATTGGTGGCTGGATTTGGAGTGATGTCCTCGTCGGCCCATACAGACTAACACATGTCCCGGTGGAATGTGAAAGCCTCTAGTAATAAGAGGAATGGGGCTCGGGACCAGCCCAGCCAAACCTCGTCCCGCCCCATCCTCACTACAACAACTACCCTCCACGGATTCAAACAGTCTACCAGTTCGCTCAGTCTTGGATCTCGCTTGCATTTCTTGTGGCTTCTGAAAAAAAACTTGGTCCAACCTCCATCTTTCCCCGGTTTCAGATAGACATTCATTCCCGGTGAGCTCTGGCAAAGACAGCCTTGACCTGCATCCATCCGACCCGAGTGAGTCCTGAACTCCCTGCATGTTTATGGGCCTGACTGATGGGTCACTGATGATTTCTCTTCGGATTATGCTGCTGCAGAAGCCTTTCATGCTCTGAATATCCTTTCAAGCCCCTCGTCGATCGCCAGATCCCCACCTTCCGCATGGGACATTGTTTCCGGACAGAAGCGATTGAAATATAGAATCAAAGACAAATCGGATGTACACCGTGGTAGTTGTGCTGAGTTTATCCATCAGCTCGGTTGCAAACAGGATGAAGTTACCCACCGAATTTCGATCTAGAGCATATCGTGTTCTTGCTCATCCCTCTCATCAACATTCGACTCCTCAATTCCACCTGGGTTTCTGCCCATACGCAACCTGTCTTCGAGGTGTCAGAAAGCGTACAAATTATTTGGTTTCTCACGAACATTTGCAAAACTCCCTTGATCCCGTTCTGCAGCGCCCCACGCGCAAAGGCACACATTAGGATCATGTCGAGATAGCACTTCCCAAGATACTTATCCATCAGCGCAAAACTGTATGCTTCCAGTCCTGCAGCCCAGTTTCGAATTATTCGCCGCGTCAGTTCATCACAGCTTTCGGTCCATAGAGGGATCTGGATGCTTTGTTCGGTGACGTTGATGAATCCGTGCCGAGTGAGTTCGGTTTCGAAGTGGAGGGGAAGGTCTACCTGGCGCCCGTCTCGGGCATAGGCCGTTTCTACATCCCGAAAGAAGTTATGGAAGGCACTGTTCTCGCCGGGCTCATCCAACTGCACGCTCATGTCACAGATCTCAACCCATCCGCCAGGGAGGCAGCAACTAAAGACAGAAGTAGTTCAGCGGGTGTTATTTATCCATCTATCTGGTTGGGCAGATAGTTTACCTATAAGACCCTTCCAGCAGGAGTGACAGGAGATGACGGTCACCGTGAAGTCGACTGATATGGATTAATTCCACGTCCGTATAGTGTATGTGCCAGCCCGGCTGACGGAGGTTGTCGATGAAAAACTCGCAATTCGGTGGCACCCTGTCTGGTTAGCTCGGCATCGCAATCAGACCATGGTTCGTCGGTGCTTACCATTCGGGCTGCATTCTCACCAAGTCAACACCAGAGACCTAGACGGTCAATCCCCTCATCTTGATCCAACATAAAGCTTCGGTTCGGCTTACAATGGAAGAAGGATGTCTATCCGCTGTATAGAATTTAGAATCATCGGTCGCCGAGCTCCATGAAAATACTTGGTTCGAGCTGGGAGTATTTACCACATTCTACAGCCCAGCAGCCAGTGCTGGTCTTGATGTCGAGGACACTCCGCGGACTCGCTATGGGGGCGAGAAATAGCCTATCTTGGAAAAGCTCACGGAGCAAATTGTACTGTTCCTCTGTCGCCAAGTTTAGGTGCGAAGACCAAACAACAGCAGCTCACTTTACCTAATCGATCTCGCTCCAACTTTGAACGATTAGCTGCGTTTCCCAAGAGAGAAGAGAGGCCCACCTCGTCAATTGGCCACGGATGCTCATCCCGATGTAACACAGAATAGAGACGGCCGAATCGGTACTCAGTTGGATGGTGATCAATCTCAAAGCTCTCGGTGGATCTGTTCCAATCAGCAGCTTAAATATACCTGTCCAAGGGAGCGATGCGTACAATGCGTCGATATCCTCTAGCGGGTCTGAATCCGAGGCAGTTTCCCATGTCGTGGCTAGGTACAATGCGTCGTTCATCTTGCTGTGTGACTGACGGTCAGGTCTGGGTTGTCTTCCTGACACAAGGGATCAAATGCTATTTAGGCTTTGAGACAGCCGTCGCGATATGTACTTTGAATCTGACACCTGGGGGGAGGGAAGGTTTAGGCACGAATTCGCGGAAGTGGACCCGTTTCCGAGAAGGGTCAAAACGCCCGGGATTTGCCTCGGCTTTTAACAGGCCTCTCCTGGCCGGTTCTAGCACCTGCACGACTGACTTCCGCCTCATCAGCTAACCCAATCCGATGAGCTCTCTTGCGCCTACGGGCACCTTGTGGCGTGGCTGACGAGGCCCTTGGTCACGGGGGAACGCCAAGGAAAGGGGCGGCAGGTTGGAGCAATACCACTCTTCCTTGAATCTGGGTGTTGGCGAGACATTTTAGCCCTGTGGCCTGGTGAAATAGTCTGGAGTGGGCATTTAGGTTAGGGACGGCAGATCAAGAGGCTACCAACCTTACTCCATCCTAAGATCTTGAATGATCGGATGCTACAGACTATTGAATGGGCTGTGATTCTTGCAGACCCAGATTACAGGCCCAATTCCTTTGGGCGAGAGGTATAATACGGGTTATATAATGCCACGCTTGGAACCTGGTTGGCGCTATTGAAGTGGCGCTAATGCTCAGCAGTTGAGTGGATCAAGGCGGGTTTCACTCTGCATCCCCGGCAGCGTCCTTCAACGAGGCATGCTACATACATCCGGTGGGTCGTGACCTGTACCTCCCGAAATGAGGCCCGAGAATTCTCCAGTTCAGCCGATGCTTATCGGAGATCGACTGCACCACGCAACAAAGGAGGGTTAGTGACCCTGGTGCCATCTATCAACCTTGATCGCGGTCTTCTGTCGTGCAATTCCACATGTCATTGGCGGAACTAACACCCGGAAGGATTCACCAGTTGCATTAGCCAACAATGCTCCTTGCGCGCATACTATGCTGCAAAAGGGAAAAGGTGATCGGTGAGGTGGGCAGTCTCATGAATCGGTCGTCTCCCGAGACCTGATCGCTACTGAGGCTTCGATCATGAGCCAAGTGGGGGGTTCCAACGCCCAAGGCCATCTATCTATCACACGCCTACTGTTTCCAAATTCTGGAAGGATAGGATTTCTTTTTCCTATGGAACTGTAATCAGACAATATTGGATTTTCCTTCTATTTTTGTGAGTAACAGAGGGGCTGTCCTTGATCACAGCTGATCCCTGCTCACTCGGGTTTCCAACAATCCTGCCCGATATTGTCACATGTCGACTTACAAAATCATCCTGCTTTATTATCCAGGCTTTTGCATGGGGACATTACCTTGATCACCTTGTAGGCTCGATCCTGCGCATCGAAGATTGTTGGGTCGTTGCCTTCACTCGCACAGCCGCCATCGACGGTACCGCCAGAACCGCGATAGAAGTCAGGGTGACAGCCACATGCAACCCAACCTTGCTATTCAAATACTTTCCCCGGTTCAATTCCGCGACCATTTGTGTACTCATCATCCGCTGCATCTGCAAAGGTCCCGTCGGATTTGGGCCCCTTGATGCCGGTTACCTTAGGGGGGCTTGTCCTCTTCAGGTTCATGCACGAGCCGCGCAATGACAGGCTTGGTATTGTACAAAAGTGCAGATGCGTGGGTTGTCTTTCAAAATAGTCTCATTCGAACTCCTTCTCTTTAGGGATGTTTCCAGTCACTGACAGCTAACTGGCTATGGCTAATCTATATGTAATGCTTCAGACATTCATGAACTTTTATTTTCTAAGAATCGTCTCGATCTAGTCTCTTGGTTGCAGTTTCAATATAATTACGAATCAAGTCATAGCTTTCCTGGACTAATCAGCACTGATAAGCCCTTGAGTAACCTTCTTGAATTCCCCCACTTGCGATACAGTATCCACCCTGCATCCGGTATGAAGCCCAACCGAATATACCCGTTGGTGACATGATTCAAAATCCCTTTCCAATATCCCTGATAGCAACAACGCAGAAAAGCCAAGGATACAAGATGACGAAGGTGACTCCATTCCACGATGATGACATTTATTACTAGAGAGAGCGTCGCTGCAACGAAAACCCTTCGCGATTAGAACTTCGTGCAGCAAAAACACACGCCGACGACCACACACGTTGCTCAGCTCCCTCGCTCTATTCTGTAAGCGTAAGCGTAGGCAGGATGTAGCTATACAGCACAACTCATCTGCATACAAATATATTGATAGTTAATACTCCCGCATGCGCTGTACGTCTCCAATTCTTCCTTTGCTTTTGAAAGGTAGCTAACTCTTCCATACGTTTGACCGCTCGGGGAATGTCGGACCGCTGATGGGGATGCCTGATCATTGGGTGTGCTGTACCCTTAGCCTTTCTAGACTATGACCCGAGCGAACTGATATTGATTTCAGCTATTGGCCTTTATACAGATGTCCATTGCATGGCAGACTTTTTTTGTGATTGTTTACGACTAGCAACAGCATTCTTTTCCAGTTGCTCAGTAGTGATGCGATTGGCGGCGGGGTTGGATTTCGGGAGTAGGGTTTTGTACCCAATGAAGTTTTTACTATCGATAAAAGAGGTATCACGGAGAGAAGTTAGTTGAAGGGTGCGACGGCTAGGTGAATGCGAGAGATTGTGGGTTCTGTAGATGTGCTTTATCAAAACAGCGACTTCGTAGAGACTGCCCAAGTCTAAATGTCAGACTGACATTGCAGACCTCCCTGGATTATATATCTCCTTGTGGGAAATACACCACCCACTTCTATGGGATGATCAACTGAGGCATTCCTCTTTCCGCCCTCTCAGGATAATGAACAAAGTCACTTGAGCTGGGTGTCTGGTGCGTCTGGCTTTAACCCAGAAGTAATCCAAGTATTAGTATTAAATCCCAGCTGATGGTGTTTGACATCTGATCAGTCCCGACCCTGTTCGGCCTGAGTATGAACGCGGACATCCCCGGCTTCTGGGTACGGAATCCCATCTGTCCCACATAGGTCTGGTTTGACTGATGTGTTGTTTTCTTCGCGGATAAAACATGACCGACAAGATTGCTTGCTGATATGCCTACTTGAGGGAAGTCTATCCATCCTCGTGAATTCCACAATTGCAAGGCTGGGATTAACCCCGTCTACAAGGGTCTGGTAACTGGTCGACAACAACCCCCACATGGTCAAAGTATCCGGACATGGGATGCTTGAGTGTTGTTTGGATTCAAAGTTGTATCTTCTTCTCGTTCTAGGCCATGGTTAATACCGATATCATCTTCCAATGTCAGTAGAATGCACACATTCCGCCGAATTACCCATACTTCAAGTCATAACCACCTCAACTTCTTTATCATTCCTTCTAGCCCACAATAGGCGCGGTTAGATTCTCTCTCTCTCTTGGACAATCTAGGTTGATTGCGTTCGACTTTAATTGTCACCTGTTCCTCCGGTGATTTTCTCTCTAGAAACAAAGTAGAGCAGGTACGCGTAGACCTTAAACTATGGGATCCTCGGGTAATTAGAATTAGTATTTGCACCATATAATTCTTTTCTATCTGAAGTCTGGTACATACGACCACAGGGTGTGGAGAACAGGGCTTCCCGTCCGCTCAGCCGTACTTAAGCCACACGCCGGGAGGTTAGTAGTTGGGTGGGTGACCACCAGCGAATCCCTTCTGTTGTATGTTTTTTTTATTTCTTTTTGGTATCTGTTTTTGATGCATTCTTTTGCTTATTTTCGATTCTTTATTCAAGTAAGAGAAGTACAACGATTTTCATGATGCCGAATTTGAGGTTCAACGTACCCCCCGATTATTCCATATCGCTTCTTGAAAAGCCTCATCATGTGCTTCCCCACCTGAGGAGGATTTCTTCTTGTCCAGTCACTTGTATAATGCTTGGAGCCACAGCATGACTTTTGTTCGTGAAAATCGCAATCAAAGCAGCCGAGACGTCAATCCAGGAGGCTCCGCACTTGTTTTTCGAATTTCTCCTGCCAAAGCAGCATGACGTAGCCGCATAAATAGGCGCTCCAGATCCCTTGTTCACTTCTGGTCTCTGTCTTTTCACCCTCTGGCGTGGCGGATCTGAACGTCTGCCAACAGTCTGGCATATCGGAGTATAGGAGGCATCCAATACCTGTACCTGTCGCGAAACGGTGAGACAATATCTCTATCGCAGGTGACTTCCGCCATTGTAAACTGTCCCATTACCAGAGATTTATTCCTAGGGTCTCTTTCCAGTCGGTCGGCTTTCTTCTCCTTTGTTATCCCGGTGGTCGGGGAGCTCGTTCTAGTCATAAGTTGATATTTTCGTGCCGGCTGGACTGTCCCCAAATGCCCATTGTTTCCTCGTACTATCAGCCTTTCCCTTCTCGCTCAATACGGGCCATATAGGTTTTGAATGTTGGGAACTCGAAAGTTTAATAGATGTCTAGCGGTGATTCAAAATTAAGGAAGTGGCAGTGCAGCCTGCCACTTGCCTCATGGTGATTTCATCTCTGAAACAACATGTTTATTGTTCCTCGTAGTTGGAACGTAAACTTTCTGCAGTGAGGATTGATATGTTCGTAACACTGCCAGAGCATGGCACTTTATCGTTCCCATGCCATATACAGCTTGACCAGCTCCAAAGCAATCATGCACATCTGACAGACCGGCACGTTGAACCAAGCGCAAGAACTGATTCATCCGACATACTGTTGAAGAGTAGCGTGCTTGATGCCAGCAAGTGGTCTTCATCTCCATCCTCAGGGGCTTCCAAGGGTTTGACTTTGGCTTTTTTTCGGATCTTGTCCAAGATATACTGGAACTTCCATACGATATGGGCCATTTCAAGATAAGCCAAAGTTGTTCTCGATCTCAGTGATCCATGTCTCGATTGGTGATTTGGGACTGATATATCTGTTGCCGTGTACAGCATCGGACGATGGAGCAGGCTCGTGATAGTATTGTCAGTGCACAACCTATCCATTTCTTTTGAGTATCACAAACTCAACCTTATGATTATCTATCAT